TCATAACATTTGGGAAAGTTGATTGAACCATATTATTAAGGATCAATTTATACGATTCTTCAGCAGCTACAATGTTATCTTTCGCGGCATCCTCCAATTGTAAGACGAAGTACTTGAACTATAAATTCATGCTCAATGTCCTCGGAACAAAATTATGTACAAGCATCTTTGATTTGATCGTCCGACTTTATTAAGAAATCTGTTAAAAATCCAAATAGAGAATTAACTTCCTGATACGTTAAGGAGGTTGCATTAATGGCCATGGTACGATTGCACACGGCTGTTGTAAACCTAAAAGTAGGAATGGGTCGATTGAGGCTGGGCCTATGAATGCAGCACGTCCAGTACAGGTAAATAAGTTTCGATTTTCAACTTCTCTCTTCCCCTGAGTACAACTTCTTCTGCAGGCCCGTCATCATGATGCCTTTTCCTTCTTCATACGCGCTGATTTTCATCACTGTAATAAGTACCACTTATTTCAGAAGCCTTCAACTCGTAGTCGTTAAATGAATCTCGTTGCGAAAGCAAAAAATCTAAAAACGATTTTAAAAGGTCAACGGCCGTTCGAAGTTCAATGGTTGCTTTTTGTAGCGAAATACTAACACCATTGATTCGATCCAGTATGGTAGCCCAGAATACTGGCATAATGGCATTTTCTTTTTTTTTTTCAGAATCCTTTAATAAACATTTGGCCTCGTGAATCAGTTGCGGTGTCTGCTTCTTATCGTCAAAAATAGACTGTAGAGCTTTCTGAAAACTCTTATAACCTTTTGACAAGGCCTTGGTCGCATCGGCTCGTGAACACCACCTTGTGTCAGACACTTTTTTTGGAACTAAAGACGACGATTGTTTAGTTTCATCTTGTGTTTCGAGATTCTGGAGCATAATTGCCCAGCGATGAGTTGATGCCGAAATGAAGTTGTACAATTCTTGTACGAATCCGAAGAATGAGATTGCTCCAACGCAGCTCTCCGCAGCAAGTACTCCAACCAAATTCAACGAGTGCGCTGCACATGGGACGTTGTGTGCGAGGGGATTTATTTTTTTAATATGTGCCTGTAGACCATTGTAACAGCCAGACATATTTGCTGCATTGTTGTAAGACTGACCTCTTGCATTTTTCATAACAATGTTATTTTGATATGTAAAAAATGTAAATGAAATGTAAAACTGTAGTAGCTAGTTCTTCCCCTTTGTGACTTGCAATAGGACTAAATGTAAGAAAACGTTCTGCTACTTCTCCATTTGATGCAACGTATCTCAGAATTACAGTCAACTGATATGTATGGGATATATCAGGCGTTCTGCAGGCGCTCAGTGAAAAATATTTTGCCATTATAATTTCATCTATAATATGCTCCCCAATATTTCAATAAGTTCCTCGCAAATCGGAGAAGACAAATACGATTGTCTTTCTTTTCCGACATTATCATATTTGGCCAAATGAGAACTAAGGAAAGGATCATACTCCGCGAGAAATTATAAAATACCCAAATAATTGCCATTATGCTGGGAACCAAGAATTTCGTCATTGCCAAGAAATGCTAGTCCACGGGATGCTAAAAATTTCATGACTGACACCACCCTTTGTATAACATTGAACCAAATTATTTTTCTTTGTTGTATGCATTTCTATAGAAGTGTCAATTCGGCCTTGACAACGCCGTACACTAATCAGGGTCTGTACACATTCTCGGTGCGTTTCTGTATTCTCATGGGATTGAATTCTATGCGATGCATTTTTCCAATCACAAAATCCTGTTTGAAACTGTGATTGGTTTTCAACACCACTAAAAAGAACACATGGTAAACAGTATACTTTTCCAGTCGATGGAGAATACATGAGCCACTCTCGTTTCATTTTACCACCACTTATATGTTTACGAAAAAACATTGACTGAGAAAAAATCTTTTGCTATATTCGTATTGACGGCTTGAAGCAGAAAAATCACAGTCAAAGTGTTGACATTCGTTAAAATCTCTGATACACCAATAATCTTGTATTTTTTTAGTCATCTTTTGCCACAAGCCAATGTCGTTCTGGTATTCTACAACTTGATAGGCTACGTTTTGTTGTGGTAATTGGACGTCGTTCTCAGCCTCACTTGCCTCGGCACCTGCTGAAGTAGCTGTTTCTTGATACTGGTTAGCCTGTTCAGAACACTCGCTAAGAATATCTCTTGTGTCCGCCTCCGAACTCCCGGTTTGATCAGCAGCAGACGTACTCGGAAAAGGTTGATTTTCGAGTGGTTGACGAACAAATCCAAGATGGAAAAAGTTTTGCGTCTTCTTTAATACCTCATCACGCTTATTTTGTTGGTCTAGTCGCTTTTTACGTTTTTCTGCACCGCTCAAATCCTTTTTTTCACGGGCTGATCGGACATTTCGTTCCTTGAAAGAAAGGTGTAAATGAAAAACTTATGACAAAGAAATGGTTAAATTTTCAGAAAAATTAAGAACTTCGTACCTATTATTGGTCAAATTATAATGTCACAAATAATTATTAAACTTACCTTATTTAATTCTGTTTTATAATCAAGATTTATTCTCTCGTTAAGTTTTCAAGACAGTGTTCATAAAAAGAACTAATATTCTACTCCTATTCAGAGTAAACACAAAGCTTAGAGTGTTTTTCAATTCACTGTCGTAAAACGCTCCTGGTAGCAATCTACGAATCGGGGATTTCCTCAACGTAAAACGACATAAACAGTCCGCCTACTCGCTGCATTCCGAATTTTTTAAATACTTTTGGTGTATGTGAAAATCGTAAGTCTTCAAACGCGGAGCACACTAAAACTTTCTTAAATTTACCTTACAATAGCAAAACTCACATATTGTAATTAACGTATTTCGAGAGTTTCTGATTATTACGCTACAAATTATTATCACGCTACAGAAGCTTATAGAACGCACCCAACGAATCGGGGATTCCCTCAACGTGAATGAAGTCCAGTTGCGTTCCGAAGAATTATATTAGTTCTAATATTAGATACTAGATGGTTCTGTATGTATGATGTGTTATATGCGTTGAAAAAAAATAGTATTGTTGATTATCATTTTCGATCTATAAAACTTTTTTTTGCGGACTGCAGTGGACCTCTGCCGATCCTGAGCCCCTAGGCAGTTGCCTACTCTGCCTTAATGTTAATCCGGCTCTGTTTGGGTTTGTGCTTTGCTACTTCTAGCAAGAAAAAAAGAAGACAACAATTTTGTCCACAATTTCCTTTAACATTTCTATCACTTCAATCTCTTGAAGTTTCGTCATATAACTGGTTTTTTCTATATTTCACTAAGGATAAGTGCACACAGGCGATTATTTCTAGCCAACTATTACATCGGCCAATAGATGGGAATGGAAGCACGCACACAGGCGATCGAGAATGTGGCATGTCACAGATTTCTAGGAGAGGCGATAGTCGACCGACCATATGTAACATACAGGTTGTAACCTGTTCCCGCACACAGTCGATTGAATACTCGGCCAGTCACATCAGTTGCCTTGTTTCGTGATTTGTTGTGTTTTGAATCATTTTCTTGGTTTGCATCAAAATAATGACTGATTTCGACCCAGAATTGTTCATTAGTGAAATAGAGAAAATACCACAGTTAAATAATAAAACTTTGAAGAATATAGTGAAAGAAATGTTGAAGAATAACTGTGGGTAGAATTGTTGTCTTCTTTTTTTTTCTTGCTCGAAGTATAAAAGCACAAACACATCGTGTTTTTAAGATATCCTGAGACCACATGTACAAGTTCCAACTACATAACTCGAGAACATCCATTCCTCAACTGAAAAGATGTGTGCCTAGACATAAATTCAAGCCGATTTTTGATTGGCCGATATTTTACTCGGCCGTATGGAAAATCGCCCGTGTGCGCTTATCCTTACTCATTACTTACTGGTATTCGCCTGTGGTGGCCTCCAATAAATAACGCTGCTAACTTCCTGGCCCCACAATGTTCTCTGCGTCACATTCGGGTACCGACTTGTTATTTCTGTAACAGTAACTGCATACTTCCTCGATAGATATTTCAAGTAAATACTGAGAACAGTAGCTGGCAAAAACTGTGTTAAAAGACCAGATTTAGTTTGCAACATAGTCAACAGATGTGATAATCCTTGCTTCTCCAAAGAAGCACTGAATTTCGATTCGATTCCCATTAAATTTTCAATGTGCGATGTTTCTGTTACTGAATCTGGAATAGTCAGATTGAGGCATACAACTCCACTAACAGCATCCTCGGGCTTAATATTGAGTCCGGTAGCGAAAATATAATTCGAAGAAATATTCCTCATGGTGATAGGCAAACTTTTCGGAATTTCTTGACTGATCTGAGTGAAATACCTAGAGAGACCCATTGATACTGCAGAAAGCATGATCTCTGTTTCAGATACCCCTGTTTGCCTCGCAATTGTTTTTACATTTTCGATCGGGACAGGTTCCGACCATGCAACAGATTTTCTACCACAAAGAGTTATTGTTTGAAGGGATTCATCCTGAAGGAGAATATCCTTTATAATGGTTCTGGGTGCAGAGAAAAATATAGAGAAAATATAAAGGATCTCTTTTAGGGAGTTATACAACAGTGGTACGTAAAGATACATTATTCCCACAAAAGTGTGTGGATAAGGGCAATATTTCAAGGTGAAGCAAGTGAACAATGCTTTCAATTCGGCATAGATAACAATTGGTGTTCGTAGTGGGAGCACAAAACCCATGAACCAAATTCTTCTCAAGATGCTCCCTGCTACATTTCTGGGATTCAGAGACTTCATTATAGACAAAACGAGAGTACTGACATTCACTTGTCTCTTGTCCGCTTCTCTAACAGCAGAAAAGAGAACAAATTTGCTTCTTGAAATCGCATCTGTTTTTATAACCCGAAACCCTTTCTTGCACTCTTTTATCAATGAAACGATTGTTATGATGGCGATGGAAACAAATTGAGAAAACGTGGGGGTGTTCTTTAACAGTTCTGGGCATTCTAATGGATCGCTGTTTGCTACGAAGTCATTCCATCTGTTGGTCAACTCATCAGTTAGACGTTCTTTCAGGATCGGTATCACTTGAGGCTTTCGGATGACATCAACGAGGGGGCTCTTTGAAGAGTGTGATCTGAAAATACAACAAATGTATTACGTATTTTCATGCATACCGAGACCAATTTCAAAAGTGAAGTTCTTCAACAATAATTTGACTCAATTTTCATTAAAGAAGATGCTCATCATGTACTGGTTAGGTTGAAAATTGTGAGAAATTGGTCAACTGTCTGCCTTTTCTTTATTACTGAGCAATGTGCTTAGTGCTCTTTCTTCAAGTTTCGCATAAAACGACTGACAAAATTTTTTGGCTCTTTGAGAAAATAAAAAGAAAACTCCAAAGTACTTCACTGAAAAACTAGTTATTGGGAAAGAAAGGTTTTGACTTTCTCCATCTTGATACAAAAAATTCCTTATATGAATTCAAATTAGCGAACGAATGTGCTTCATCTTATAATGTTATCAAGAATTGGTGCTGAAGACGCAATAAGGCAAGTGTCTTCGGCCAAAACATCGGATGTCAGCCGTTGAGGATGACAATGTTCCATGTAAGTGAAATTTCATCACAATAATATGCTATATTATTGTGTAGCAATCCTGTTAATGATATCTGATTAAACTCCATAACAAATGCTTGGAATACAAACTGATTAGAGAAAAGTGTTTTTGTATAATTCAGTGTTCATATAGAAGTATTTGTTCCGGAAGTATTTTTACCCAAAGTTTTTTTTTTTGTATGGTTTGAAATGTGAGTACCCAAATGGATGAAACAACCATCAAAAGTAGAAACTTGTGCGAGCTAAGAATTAAGCAGGTATTATTTATTAACTTGCGATTGATAATAATGAAGCGACGGGTATTTACGCATAGTTTCTTAGCTATAAAATATCAATCATGAATGTTATTTTCATTAAAATATCAACTTGTTCACTCGATAAATCATCATCGAAACCATTTTATTCTTAATGTAAGTATTACCCCAAAGCCTGTCTAGTTGGTGGAATCAAGGGAAGCAGATCTCCTATATTAATCCCTTCCGATAACAGTAAGTGGTGCAATTTCAAAAGAATGTAGTGACGGTCCTCTGCAGAAGGTATAATTACCACTTGCCAAGGAGGGGTGTTGGCTGGTAAATATTTTGAAACGATATCGCTGACATATTCCTGAAAAATATATAGGAATAAGAAATAAGTATACTACGCTCAGGTGCATAAAAACGGCCACCTCAAAATCCCAACAAATTTTGATCTTGAATAATTTTTTTACTTTTAATCCGATATTGATTTTTTTTATTAAATGGAAGGAAATGTATTCCAATTCATTCCAGATTTTCTAATAAAGCCCGAATTATCCACTATATAAAGGAAAATAAAGTTATGTTTTTTTCATCTAGGTTTATGACACCCTGTGCTTCTGCATGATACTCAAAACCATCCTCATGCAATCTTGGTTCATTTTCCATGCATTGTATCTCCATTAATTTCCATATCACGATTCATTTAAAATTGTGTTTACTCTGGAAAAATTCACATTCGAACGATAACATGAATAGCGAACGGTTGAGAAATAAAATGATAAACCAATTTTTCAACACTGGGTTTTGCCTACTGTAGCCAAGACTCCTAGACAATAGCTTCCATTTTCCAAAGCATTCCACCAATTTGCGTTCGAATAAACTCCTGGGGCATGTTATTCCACTCCTCTATGAGCACAATATGAAGTACGTAGGTGGTTTTCAGCGACCTTTCACAAGTATTTCATAGTCCCAGACATGTTGAATAGGATTTGCATCCGGAGAGTAGGTATGACCTTTCCCATATAGTAATGAATCTTCAGGACATTGAGGAAAGGGGCGTTGAAAGCTTACTATGAGCTGAGCATAGTCACCTTCAAGGTCCTGGAAGGTCCTAAGATCGATGTGCAAACAAACTTGCAAAGCATTTCACGAATTAGCGTTCGAATAAACTCCTGGGGCATATTATTACACTCCTCTATGAGCACAACATGAAGTACGTAGGTGGTTTTCAGCGACCTTTCACAAGTATTTCGTAGTTCCAGACATGTTGAATAGGATTTGCATCCGGAGAGTAGGTATGACCTTTCCCATATAGTAATGAATCTTCAGGACATTGAGGAAAGGGGCGTTGAAAGCTTACTATGAGCTGAGCATAGTCACCTTCAAGGTCCTTGAAGGTCTTAAGATCGATGTGCAAACAAACTTGCAACATAATAAGACAGCAAGTCTTTATGGAGGTTATAAAGGAGTTTGATATGGCTCTCATACCAATACTTCAGAATTACGGAAAAAACTGGAGTTGGTGGGAATCAGGAGGGGCGTCAATTCCTAATAGAACGGTGGTTACTGACGATTCCTTCCATATTATCGTCGAGAACTACCACCAATAAGTATAAGAGATAATAAAGGCTTGTAGAGCAGATACAGCATACGTCTTAATTCGATGCAGTACCAATGCACACCACTTCATCTGGGGTAGCTGTGACATCTAAATAAGAGGTGGACATCTACTATATAATGTATCATGACAAATAGTTTAAATACAGAGCAGATACATATTTCCTCCTAATTTGCTGCAGTACCAATGCACACCACTTTATCTGGGGAAGCTGTGACATGTAATAGAGAGGTGGACATCTACTTTATAATGTATTATGCCAAATAGTTTGAATATAGAGCAGATACATCATTCCTCCTAATTTGCTGCAGTACCAATGCACACATGTGACATCTAATAGAGAGGTGGACATCAACTATAGTTCATTATGGCAAATAGTTTGAATATAGGTCTCGTGTTCATGAAAATAGGTGTATTTCCTAGCTAGAGAAAGTAATATATGGAGAATAGGTACTATATGAACATTACTTTGTTCAGAACTGGAATAAAAAACAGTTTAGACATGACAGGTCGTAAACTAGGGGATTCTATAAAGCTAGAGTTGGCAGCAAATCGATTACAGGGAGGTATCATCTCTTCGTACAACATATATTTCGAATATTATTCCAATAACTTTTACAAACCCAAAATTATAGATAAGATTTCACGGCTGTAGTCATGATTAGAGAGAATAAAGTTTGGGTAGTCGAAAGGAAGAGTATCAAAATTTTATCTGCTATAACGGTCGTGGAATGCGTTGACTACGAGGACGAAGGTAGTATCTTGAAGTTTTAGCAACGACTGACTGGGGAGCTCTGTATTTATTCATATTTATACTAGTAGGGAGTGGTGGGGGTCAGGTATCCATGAGAATGTTCACTCCTGATTGGTCCGCACATGTGGTAGGTTATTTCAATTGGTCTACGTTATTGAAAGGTGTGCTGCTAGTGAGATATGGATATATTCCCGACAGTTCCCCCAAAATGACAGGACCGCATTTTCTTATCCATTGACTAATCATGTTCGCCTTGAACAAACAAGGTATGACATCGAAAAAAATGTTATCAAGGAAATAGCTGAAAATAACGGGTAACGGGTATCATTCAATCATAGCAAATAAGCAAATAGAAATATCTGCAAGACGAAAAACAAGATGACGGAAAGGTTAAGTGGGATTGGTATAAAAAGTATGTTGGTCAAACTGAACGAACTATGAATTTGTCACAAGAAACATGTTTCACATATTCGCTTTGATAGACCAGAGAAGTCTGGTGTTGCTCAACTTGTTTTGAAGAGCAGCCACAGAATGAGGGATGCATTCTTGAAGATGTGGAAATCAGTACAGTACAATCAGTCGAAAAAATGAAATGAGATTTATGAACAGCGACGAAGGTCCCATTTCAAGCTTCCCCTTGTTTACTCTCTTATGTAATAATTACAGGATGATATTAATACATAATAGAATAAGAAAACAATAACAAAATAACATAATAAGTTATACTGGGAGCCAATTTAATGTCCCTCATTGATACGCTCCTAATAAATTTTATTTAGTAACCTTGATACGGATTTTCATCATGCACTTTAAAAAGGTACAAAAATGTTTTTTTCCATAATGAAACAAATTTCATTATTTTACATACCTGTATATTATATTCTGTTACGGCTCTGCCTTTGAAAGTGAACGGAACTACTGTCAAATTTTGATCCAAATCGAATTTTCCACGTTGCCAAGCGTAAGTTCCAAATCTAGTTACCAATAAGTGGCGTAATCTTAGAAATACCAAATTACCAGCTTTGTCTCTTCTGCGAACTACTTCCTGAAATGATATTATATTTATAAATATTGAGTAAGCGAAATCTCTAAAACTTGAAGAAAAAAATTGGAAACTAGAAAAAGAGGTCGAAAACTTTCGTTAAATTTACTTTCTATTACTTTTACAATGTTAAACAAGTTTGCAATCTGTTATATTCTGAACAATCCAATTGAATCCATCTCCAGCAATGTTTTCTCAACCATTGATACTGTTGTAAATCATCCCTAAAGAAAATAACGCTGGCCGCCCCTGATGACGTGTCCAAGAGCGCGCCAGTCGGGCCGACGTTTCGCGGTTGTTCGATGTTCGTGGCCGTTCTAGACGTGGCGAGAATAATGCTGCCGGCTTCGATGGAATTCCAGCGAATATTCTACCATCTTCGAGGCCTTTCGATTGTCATATATAAACGCTACCTACGAACCTATCGAGAGAGTCAAGTTGAAGTGCGGTACGTGGAGCGATTTAATAAGGCGATAGATATTTGAATATTAGTTTAAGTTTTAGTTGAAGTGTTTTGTTGTATTAAAAGTGAAATGAAGTTAAGTTTGTTTATTGTTCAGTGTAGTCAATTATTGGTAAACCCACGGGGGAAAACGTAACAATACTTATTCCACATGAAATGGGTACCCTCCTAACATAATAGAACAATAAGTTGAACATGAAATATGTATTTTTTGAATGTACTGACTTCATTTTCATTGAGCATGAGAAAATACAGTATGTGGGTTCAATTTGATAAAGTTTTTATTATCCTATAATAATCAGTTAACTAAAGAGATGGGTCCTCAAAGCGGACCTCAAATTTATTTGTCTGAAATTTAAAAATAGTCCTTTTTGGAAAATTATCTCGTTTGACTGTCTTTCTGTTTGATAGTTTGTTCGTCTGTCATCGTCTAGAATATGAAAGGCAATATCTATCGAAGTTAAATAAAATAGAGATCTAGTTGATTCCATACTATTGAAGTACATTGCGATGTAGATTGGAGTTAATGATCCACTGAAACTGGTCGCAATTGGAAAATGGAAAAAAAATCTACATATTTTCCGAAATATGTCGATTTTTCCCATTATCATCATACGAAAACTATTCTGAGGGTTGTCATTTGTAAGGGGGTCACAGCCGGTTAGCGGAAAAACAAACAATTGGCAACTGATTATATCAGGTTGTTTCAAAAGTGTTGTCCTTTACTATCAGTTTACTTCAAACTGTATCTCAGTGAATATTTATCCAATTTGATTGAAATAAGTGTCATTTGAATCAGTGCACTTTTACCAACTTAACACAAGTCGATTGATTCCGTCAGCATAAAAAGTATGTGCTCGGGATTCGATGAAGTCGACGAAAGCCGTTTATGCCTTGTATAGATTGGCGAAGCTTCTACCGGTGGGAAAGTTATCGAAGTGCTTGAAAAGATAATAACCGGTTGGCGAGAGGTCTGGGAAGTAAGGTGCGTGACGAAGAACTTCGACACCCACTTCGTTTAATTTTCGGACGGTAATTTGTAAAATGAACAGACGGGCATTGTCGTGGAGCAGGATCGGACCTCTTCTGTTGACCAATTCTGCCTGCTACTGGCGCAATTTTCGATATATTTCGTTGATTTCCTCACATTAGGACTCTGATGTGATGGTTTGGCTCGGTTGCAGAAAGTTATAGTGAATCACACCAGCCGGTGACCATCATACAGTAACCATGGCTTTTTTTGGTGGGTTTTTGTCTTTGGGTAGTGCCTGGGTGGCTCATCGGTATTCAACTAAACATCTTCTATTGTCGTAGATAATCTACTTTTCGTCAGACGTGACGATCCGATTCAAAAAACGATAGTTTTGGCATCGTCCATAGATATTCTAATATTAGAATATCTATGGACGATGGTTTTGGTTGCAAAGAAGAACAGACCTCAAAACGTGACAATTCCTATCGATCGTTCATATCGTGGGGCACCAACTTTACTTAATAATTTAAAGGATTTCGAGGTATGAAACTGAAATCGCTACTGATCACTCCACGTTTTGACGTAATATTAAGTTTAAAAAAATTACGTTTTCGGACCTGTCGAATTCTTCAACTTCCACGTACTGTCTCCCTTTCCGAAGTGACTCTATCTATACTTAGCACTGAAATTGAAATATGTAGATATATTGGAAAGTTTTACCTGTAAATGTCGCCTTACTGCTTCAGGTTGTGCCTGTCCTTTAACTGATAGTAGAACTGATATGATTCCTTGGTTTCTGTGAGTGTCCAGTAATGTACGTATTGTAACGTACTTCACAAATTCTAAATCCGGATGTAATGTCGAAATGCAGCTCAGCCATATCGAACGGCATATTTTCAAAACTAGAAAAGATATTTGTGATTTCAATAATCCTAATAACCCTATTCAAAAAAATTCATCAGGATGTTGAATTGAAATTATGACTGCAAACTTCATTTTTTTCGCTTAGTTTTCAACTTTATAGCACGAATTAGAAAGCATCGAATCTGGGGAAGTATTTGAGGGCCAACGAGCTGTTGATGATCTGAAATAAATTTTCGACGCAGTTATCCGGGAGCATCTTCAACAACCTGTTGGTTATTGAATCAACCTCCGGAGGTCGAGAAAATACCTGCACGTCGTCTTGATTTCAGACAGGTTGAAGCCTGGCTCCCTTACCCTTTGGACTATTGTTTGCCAGAAGGACAAACGAGAAAATAATGATTTTTCCAATTTTCATCGACTGAGACTGTGTAAGAATAAGCAACGTGTTGCGTTCAACGAATCACGCCATCTACCCATAATTTTTCTAGTTAACAGAGGTAAAAGTACATTTCAAGAAATGATGCCGATGAAAATGACTGCAAATAAGGAACTCGCATTCCTAGGGGTTCAACGTGCTTTACGTGCCAATGTTGCTAACATTGGTCACGTGATAAACGACGGCGAATAGCTTGTATATGGAGGGTAGAGGTGAGATAACTTATACTGCTTATCTATTGGAGACTGTTTCCGAGGATACCAATGATGAATCAATTTTCAAGTCGAATCTAAGCTCCAAAGCCTTGATAATATTCGTGCAACCGTCGTGACTGTATTCGAGGATAACGGGAAGTTTGCAGATCATTATTTGCTCCCATGTTCCGACGTGCTTGTTAGTTTTCGACGAACTCAACCCCTGAAAACAGTTCTTAAGCACTTCCCTCACAGTCTTTTACTCTCTCAATTTTGAGTAGCAGGGTGTGGAAAGGCTCGATATTATGTGGTCTCCGGTACGATAAATGCTCTGTATGAGCCACATTTACGACTCGAAAACGTAAAAACAAAACAAGGTCGCAATAATAGATATTTTGATCAAAATCTTGTGGAATAAATCATCATCGTGAATCAAATATTCACGTTATTACATTACATAACGATCGTCTGATACAAGATCATACTGAAATGTATGTGATAGTCACTAGGGTCATGGCCTCGTGATTTATCTATACCGTGGCTTATAATTTTTTACTTGTTTGTTCCACTGTGGTTGACCGACCAAATCTTTGGTGGTGAAAATTAAAGAGGACATAGATATAGTAACATTTCACTGTGAGATTTCCACTTGACACTTTATAAAACCGCGACACTCACAGTTATTTAGTATTGATGAGCACACCGAATAACCTATTGTATAGTGTGTGTTGAGGTTTCGTAAACTGTCAAGTGAAAATCTAACAGTAAAAGTGTTATTCAAATATGTTATAATGAATTTTCATCAAGTACCTATCGACTGACCACTTCCATTCCATCCGTCTGTATAATCACAAAAAATTAAATTCAAGAAACAGAAGCTTCTTTGAAAGAAAGATTCACCTTAGCTTGAATATTAAAATCGTAATAAATTTTAATTAAGTAACTAAAATATGTCTTACCTATGCAAACAAAACCTAAAAATGGTAATGTGAAAAGAGTAGAAGTAAACAAAATTGAAGTCAATAAAAAATCCCACATATTTCACTTCTAGAAAAACTTTATGTACATTTTTGTTGATAATTTGTCATATCACGGTGAACAGTGAGCACACTAAATTACTATAAATAAATATTACCATGTCGGCTTATCAAGAAAGCTGACCCTTTGAACCTCAAGGATTCGATCCACTACTACTCTTTGTTATTTTGCCATTACGTTAATTGATTATAATATGACACATCTTGAACATGTTATTCACCTGACGTCAAGAAATTGGTTTCCGTTTATTCAACCTGTTGCTTTTTCGTTTATTCATGAAGAAATATTTATTAACTAATAATATGTTATTTCTGTATTTGATCTTATGAAAAGTATTAATTTGAAATGAGATTTTAGCATAAAACAGTATGAAGTATAATCCAAATTTGTTTCTACATTTTCTTTGAATGAGAATTACAGTGCAAACTACTTGCGGTCCGTTAAATCGAGAGAATTACGAATTCATAGCAGGGTTAAAACAATTTTGGGGGAGTTTTTCAACGAAAACTTATATTTTTTCTCTCGGAAGCAGAAAGATCGGAAAAGTTATTCAGGTATATGACCTCGTGTTAGTCTGAAGGTCGTATGTAAGTCAAACATTTAAAATGGTAAAGTGATGAAGAGACTGGTGTGAACGCAAAAACAGTAAATGATCTCTACGATTTGTTCCTGACTTCCCCATGGTGGCCTTTCATTTGATAATGACGTTCCTAATCATTGCCAGTTCAGAAAAGTTTCTGAATTGAAAAAATATATTCATGATTGCAGAGACAGACTTAATGGAAATCGATCATATGGCTCCAGTCATCTTCTATTTCGATCTTTCTATCACTCAACTTCTCGGGTTTAGAATCGATTGGCCAACCCATGAACTTGCTGTTTCTGGCTACTTTGGCTTCATACTGAATGTTGACTCATAATTTTGCCTTTGCCAGCTTTATTTCTTTATAGTTTGGGATATCCAATATTCCACTATCTCTGTTTCCAGTATGAAATAGGAATTTCTATTCAGAATATTCATTCATGAGAAAATAATTAGCAAGGTCACAGTCAAATAAAAGATCAAACACCGCTAGACAGCCACAGCCAGGAACAAATTATGTCTAATTGTCTACAGTTTTTCTGTACGTTGTAAGGTAAGACCTTAGCGCCCTCATAGGAATAAATTTTCCATGTAGCCATTCCGTGAGTTCTGTGTTCAGAACCCACAACACAAGGAACACGAGTCGATATCATTGACAGTTGACACCGAAAATAAAAACGAAATTCGAGATTTTAGGTTAGAAGTGAATTAATATTTATATTTTACTATCATAAGTAATATTACTTTATTTTATTTTTATTGAAAGTCTTTTCGCAATTATCACATTCTTTTATGTTAATTTTTTTTGAATCTGTTGAAATCAGTATGTAATTCGAATAACATTAAAAGTTAATAAAAGAAAATCCTTATGGTTGAATGTTGAGGTATAAATCCTGTTTCTAACTGCACAAAAATTGCTATGCCTAAAACTTAAAAGTTTCTAGGCAATAAATATATGCAAGTGTCTTCACTACAAAATAAAATACTTATACTACATCTTTATGTAAGTTATGTTTATAATTTTCAAAATTCATTGTAACCAGAGAGCTATCATATATATTACAATCAACTTCGGCAAATTCATGAAAACATATGCTTAATGTTAATCAGTGGCAACCATCAGCAAAGGTTCACAAGAGTAATTTCTTCTAAATATCTCGCTATAGCTCTTAAATAGTGATCGGCAGAACCAAATATTTTTCATAACCAATACTTGGTTCTCGAGAACTTTTGAAAATTAAATTCCCATTTGAGTAGTGATGTATTCAGTGTCCGTATAATATTAGCTCTATGTCGTATCGATCTTCTAATTTACATGAAAATTCTACACCTTTGTATATAGGTATCTTGTATGTGTGTCTATACCCAATCTTGATACCTGTTTTTCTATTAACCATATGGTTCTCCTATGAACGGTAACCTTCAAAAGTAGAAACTTGTGCGAGTCAAAGATTAACGAAGTCTTACTTTTTAATGTGCGATTCGATTCTCCCACTGACCAGCATTCGTTACTCACCTATATCCTATATTTCTTGATTTTTAGTTCTCAAAGGATAAACCTGGCCATCTATGTAGACAAAGGTTCTGGATTCAGTTTTACTTTGAGAGGTCATATACTGCCATAGTTGGGTGGTAATACTTTCTCATTCAATATCAACTCATCTGTTAATAAATGCTTTCAATTAAAACTTTGAAATTATCTTGCTCATTATTTTTCATTTCAGGCTATTCTTCTTGGCATTTTAGTGTTTAATAATATTCAATTTAAAAAACAAATTTCTTCATCATGTTGTGTTACGACTACCACTGAACATAACTACTGGTTGCGAATTTTTCACCTTCATATTAGGTTAGTCAAGGCAACAATAAGAAGTGCAAAGCAATAAAGTGGTGAACAAATAGAAGGTAAAACTATACAGTTTTGCAGAGATAAAACCACTCAATCTATAAAAATTCTCAGATTAATGTCCATTTTTTAAACTAAAACTTAGTTATTTTTGAGCAATGTTGTTGCCCGCGTTCTTTGTTGTCATGCATTGATCAAGTTCAAAAGAAGGGATTTACTAACCAGCAATAGATAAAACCACTTCTATGTATTTGTAGTGTTTATAATGCTGGTTACTTTTACGGTTTGCCTAATAATGAAGTTTTTTTTTAAAAATGAAAATGTATCGATAACATTTTGAGGTATGTTTGTATTACTTTTGATTGAATTGATAAAAGAGTAGAACATACTCATTATTTCCTAATTGAATGCTTCAGGTATAGCGATGAAGTGAAACACTGTATATTGTATCAAAGTAGAGAAATAAGAAGGCTCAGTAAATGGAATTATTATTGACTGTAGAATAATGATTACTTCCTTCCTTTCCTTGGAAGATTCCCTCATCCTTGTTTTTTGTATCAAGATGGAGTAGTAGAATGCCAAAAACTCTCTTTTCCATACTAAATAGAAATATATAAAAAGTGTAGGTCTCCAGTATAGTGAACTCTTATTGAGAGGGGGTGTTAAATATATTTTCCTCTACAATCATATCCTTTTAACATCTTGTATATTTCTGTTCGTTGTCAAAAGTATTGTCAAGTTATATAATGCTTAACAGCTTACATCTAAAGAGGCTACGCCACTGGAGTTGATAAGCTGTCGAGTACAACAACAACAGGATATCACCATATATTATCATAATATGTGGTGATATCCTGACTGAAAACTCTCATTCTGAATCATATAAAGTAGTACTGTCTCGAATAAGCCATTGAAAATTTCACAAGTTTTCATAAAAAACAAACTTATGTACGGGACTCCCTCAGTAAATAAAATGTTTCTAATATTTTGGAGAGAACAATTTTTTTTAGTTTTGTTTTCTATTTTCTTTATTTGTTCAGTATTAAATATTTGAATAAAGGGGACATTATAATTAACCCAATTAGACCATATTCAGGTAACATTTTATTGTGATATTTTTACTGGACGGTTTACAAAACTGTAACTGTCCTGTAAACTGCCAACTGAAAATCTCACAAAGTATTACTTCTATCACATACCAACTAGACCAGTTGAAAATAATTCTTTTTCAGCAGATTTTTTTTTTCAGGAAATACCACGAACATCATGCTAAGCTTTTACTGGAGCGGGAACCGAATATGAACTCATTTTGGTTACAAAAGCGAAAATGCTTATACATTCTAATATGCTCCAATATTCTTATATGGCTCGTTCTAGGACTGATGTTCTATTCACCAAGCATTCATTACATCCCTATGAAGATGTACCGTTATTTTTACCCTGTAGATAGCATATATTGCTATCGTCTGAAAATGGAATCTCTTTCCGATATATCAAGCATAAATCCAAAAAAAGACAAGTCGATATTCTTTCACGAAACTTCCTGCAAGTCATTCATAAAAGGGAAAATATCAATAGAAGCGCGTCAAGCATGTGCGGTTGAGAGTGCGGCGAAAATGAATCCAAATTTTGATGTATATCTTCTGTTCACCTCTCCAGGAATTCTCCATTTCGATGGCGACGAATCTGATAGATTTTTGAAGGCGCTGCTGAGTTATAAAAATGTGAAAATGATGCATTTGGATTATGAAAAATATGTTGAAGGAACACCTGTGGAACATTTGTACAAATCTGGGATTATAGAAGATTCAGATTATGCAATGTCACATGCTAGTGATGTTCTGAGGTAAGATATAAGATTGTGAAGGTATTAGAAATACTAGCATATATGATAAAAGTATAGTCTTTGGTTTAGTTGATATACTGACCACTTATATTAATAAGCTTATCAAACAACTGAACCTAACTTGATGGGTGGAATTGGAACCTCTATACCAGAACATTTCCTGATGATGCTAACTTGGTTAGTGAAAAGCACATCGAGAAACAGTAGTTTTGTTCCGGGGTGGAAGTTATTTATTTATTTCAACAGACACGTCAATTTACAAACAATTTTATGTATGTACATATTCCACATGATAAATTTTTTGTTCGATAATGGTTGACAAATGTTTCATGGTGAATTTCATTATTTCGGACTTCCATTATCTAATATGATATAAAATGATCTAAAACCTCTGAAAGAAGTATTAAATATCATATTAGACAATGGAAGTCCGAACTGATAAATTTTTAACAGATTATTTAAAAGATAAAGAAAAAACAAACAATAGAATTTAGTGATGGAGAACTAAAGTCGACTATCCAGGCCAGACCATCAATGCAGGAATATGAATACTGTTTTAAATCTTATTCTTCATGTTCAATATGATCAGTATTTTCGACATTTTTATAACAAATTAACATCGAGATCATAGTGCGACAGTCATATAATGAAGTTGTACTCAAGTGTACTAACTTATGTACAATATTTGAGGACCCTGGTGGAGACTGATCCATCAAATATGGTGCTTGGGATGGCGGAGGAACTGGACGTCAGCTACCCACCAAAAAAAGATCACGCTTACTTTATGGTGGTCAGCGGCTTGTGTGATTCACTATAACTTCTGCAACCAGGCCAAACCATCACAGCAGAGTCCTTCTGCAGGAAATCGACGAAATGTACTGAAAATTGCATCAGCAGCCGACATTGGTTAATAGAAGAGGTATAATCCTGCTCCACGACAACGCCCATACGCACGTTTCACAAATTAAATGAATTGTGCGTCAAAGCGTCTGTCTGCCTCAGGACCAGACAAAACGGCCATCGTCGACTTCATCAGTTTAAAGTAGACTCATTAAAACGAACAAAACTTTTGAAACAACCTTAATCCTAAAATGTATTTTCAATAATTTCAGATATTTAACCTTATGGAAATATGGCGGAATATACTTGGATCTAGACGTGATAGTAACAAAATCTTTGGAAAAACTTCCTCCAAACTATTCTGGTGCTGAATCAGACAAGGATGTGGCCGCTGGAGTGATGAGTTTCTCTTCAAGTGGAAAAGGACATACGCTAGCTGGAACTTGTTTGGATGACCTTAAAAATAACTTCAATGGAAGAGATTGGGGATATAATGGGCCAGGAGTAGTTACCAGGTAAAGTTTTTGAGCTTCTAGGTCATAATTGGAACTTCCAAAAATTCCTAATATCCAAATTCATCTATCCCATTTAACAATCTGATGACTTGGATATCTTATTGAAATTATTTCTATCAATCTACCACCATTTGTAGGTAGAAGTATTGTTTATCATGTTATTTTTGAACATTATGTACTGTCATCTATTGCTTTGAATAATATAACATTTAATAATCAGGATATATTTCCAAAAAAACTCTCAACAATAGTTTCTTGTTTGAATTGAAAAGGGTATATTTTTAGGAGAGATTGATTTTTGGGATAGAAAGGTTTTGGCTTTCTACTTCTTCACCTATATACAAAAAATTGTGGGATACTTCCAAAGGAAGGAAGAAAGTAATTAATTTCAAAATAAACTCTTTACAAAGATGTTGAAGCAATAATTGTTCCCGAAAATATTTGGAATGTGGTAGGGTTCTGAGACTTCTTCATTTAGGAGCCCAAACCAAATAAGCAATGCTTCAAACGTTATATTGCAATTTATCAAGAGCAGAAAACTATAGACAATGACTTGTTTTTGTAAATTTGGGGCACTCACATATTTGAACATCTATTCGATAATTTCCGTGTTATTGATTTAAATTCTGCATAACGAGTTTCAAACCATCAAATCAAATGGAAAAATTTTTGATCAACATGTTACCACAGTCAATGAGGGAAATCCCGCTAGATTTGTTCGAGACTTTTGGCATTTTGGACCCATTTTAGTTATAACCAACTGTGGGGATGTGATGATATTTGAAAATGTTGTGTATTTGCAATGATTTGTTTAAGTACGGTTTTTGGTGAATCTTTTTCTTCTACCAGATTTAAATAGTGACTTGAACATCAATAAACCATTGATTCTGAATATGTAATTTCCAAAATACTGTCTCAATGTCAGCAATTCCAGATTTGAAAATTGGCGTAATGTTGTTTAGGTTAGGTGCAAAGTGAGTGGGTCTATTCATCTCCCCACTACAACCTCCAAGAGTTAGTTCTGACTCACCCCCTTTCAAACTTGAACAAATAAATCTAACTTTAGTTTAACATCAGTTGGTAAGAGTGAAACTGCCAAATTCTGAGAACCTGATTTGTTCTGTAGCAGGGTTTGCACAAAGTATGTGATTGGTATGAAAAGTTGAATATGGGCATAATTCTGGATAACAAAGATACAGAGGCAACAAATATGTTGCCTCTGTATCTCGGAAAGCTCTAAAAATGCTTGGTTTCATTGTAAGATCATTTGATGATTTTTTTTGTTTAAACTACAAACATTTTATTTTGCTACCTTGTTGAATCCATTGTGTGAATAAGTACTGTAATCTGGAGTCCATATTATATCAAACACCTTCATCAATACATAATATAAAATTTTCCAGACTGCTGAAATCTATTTGTGGAGGAGCAAAATTGGCAAAGGATATGATAAAAAAAGACTGCCAAGGTTTCAAAGTATATCCTAGGGAGAGTTTTTATGCAGTGCCTTGGACGAAGTGGAAAATGTTTTTCGATGAAAATTCAACGGGAGCTGTCAACAAATTAACCAAAAAGAGTTATGCGATTCATGTCTGGAATAAACATAGCGCAAGTACCAAAATATCCTTAACATCCAATGTTTCATACATTTTGAATGCCAGAAAGTTCTGTCCGAAGGTGGTGCAAGAATGCGACGATTTTTTTTGATGTACACAAGTTGATTAATTTTAAGGTTTTCACAAAGTGATATCTAGTCTAAAAACTGTTGAAATTGATTTTTGAGGGATTTGAAAACACCAAAATTGTCGAAGTTTTTGCATTTCTGGTCAATATTTCATGTGTTTTCTTAAAGGAATTGAAGTATTTGAGCCTAAGTAAGTAAGCTTGTTGCCACAATAAACACTAAAGAACTTATTTGATATCTTAAATACAGAACAGTTTTAGGTTATGATATATCTTCATTTCATATGTTTTTTGTTAGAAGTGATAACATGTTACTATTACATATTAAAAAGTTAAGACTCTGTTATCTCGTAGCTCACACAAATTTCAACTTTTGACAGTTGTCATTCACAGGGGCGACAACAGCTGATTAACGGAAAAATATGTTTTAACAGAACAGACTTTAGCAGATCATACCTTTGGAAAAATTGGCACGACTTGAAATTGAGAGTTTTTTAATAAAAATTAATAACAACTTTTGATAATGTGAAAATAGGAACATTAAAATAATGTCAATTCAATGATCATCGTTGAACTAAACATTTTTTTATTGTTTTTGGAAAATACATAAACTGTTTTAGATTTTTATTTTTTTAGGTAATTTATTGAAAATTTCTAAACAATTTCATATCGAATTATTCTTTCCTTTGGTAGTATGTATTACAACAAGATGAACTTTTTGTATTAAGGATCATGTAATTTAGAGTTTTTTCATAATCAAATATCACTTTTCAGGTGATTTTTTTGACAATTTATATACGAATTCAGCTTGAATGTCCACTGAAAGTCCACTGTTAGTGGAAAATTTAAAATGTCAACCAATAAAATCATTTTTCATGGTGTTATGAAAGACATTCAATGATTTACTTATATTTGTGAAATTTTCAAATGGTTTTTATCAGAATCACTACTTTCTCTCAAATCTCCCTATAGATTCACTCATCAGTCCAAAGAAAATATATTTCATTGATTAATTGTTGAATATACATGAATATTTTAGAATTCATGTCCATATTCTTTGAATACATTCAATTCTTTCACTCAACAGAGATNAACACTCTTCTCGACGCGCGTTTGACCAACGAAGTTAGCGTCATCAAGAAATGAGCAATTCTATGCTTTGAGAAGAGTGTTGCAGTTCTGAAAGTTACAGAATTTTTAATATTTAGCAAAATATGAGATAATTGATGGATCAAATGATAATATAATTATTTATTTACCTTCACTGAAACTGATATTTATTAAATCGGTTATTTATTAATATATCATTTTGGTGTATTTTGCCTATTTGAATTTTCTGCGAGCTAAAGGTCAATTGAATATAATCTACTGTTTTTTTAATTTAATGATTGGAACCGTTATTTTATTCAACTTTTCCTAATGAAAATAATTCATTCATACCTAATTTATTTTAGATATTCAATGTAAATAATGTGTCTGTACAATAAATATTTTTCATTAGGTGAAAACCAGTGTAAAAATTCATGATTATAGTTTGTTTTTACCTAATGTGTTTTCATTTTCAAACTTTTTCAAAGTATATAGCAGTACCCCAATTTTTTAAAATATGACTTCGTTATGGTATGAATTATGTTGCATCTCCCAATTCGACACATTCACACTACATTCCAATACTTTGTTAATATTCCTTGGATTTTTTGACTGATGTTATGGGTCACCTCAGAATTTTCATTAGGAGACAAGCAGGAAGGACACCATACAGCGCCTTTGGACACACCATGTCGCAGTGGTCATTAGTGAACCACTGAACTGTCCTACAAAGAACAAGTCTGAAGGTAAAGGTGATGGCATCTCCCCCTACAAAGACTCCATCTATTGGGAGATACCATCACCTTTACTTTCAGTGTTATTACTGTTCAAGAAAACACATAGCCTCTTTATTTTTTCAGCAAGTACCTCAAATGTTGAGTGGAATGGTTCTTTCAGTCTGAAATCAGTCATGGGTTGTTATAATTTTTCAATGAAGCTATTGATAATTTTAAAATGTGTACATTAACTTGGGCAGAAAACTAAATCATTACACACCTCAATTCAGTCACAGGTATAGTTCAAGTAAACGATATAGTGCCCCCTACCTTCCAGCAGTTCCCCTTTAATAAAATAGTTGAGGAGCTAACTAATTTTGTTATTCAATAATCATTTCTGATTATATAAGAATTACAATATCNACTCGTCCAAGGACACCATATTTTAAACAAATATCAAAAATTTCAAGTAATTATAACTTCACCAATATCGAATTTCAACACTCAAATCGCGATCAGTTCCTGAACTGAACATTGACAACACGACGGCTTGCATTCTATTCGTCACCATAACATGACCTCAAATTTAATTTCATAAAACTCGGTTAGTAAAAATAATCCAATAGGAATAGCCATTTCTTCAGTCCACGTGGACTATTTCCTAGTGGCATTAGTTCTTTGTGTTGGTTTTTTTGGCCTTTGAGTTCGCCGATAGCATTAAGATCTATCTCTGATATTTCGACTATACAGGACAAGATTGAGAGAATCGTATCCTTAAGAACCTCAGTGAAATATTTTAGAACACGAAGCAAATTTAAATTGTGGAAAAAATAAACGAAACAATAATCAATGAATCATTTACCATTGCTGTCATTGGCAGGTGAAGTTTGATCAAGTTATCTCAGACTTACTGTTTCAAAGTATTCTTTGTTCAATGAATAATGGTTTGCAGTATTTTTGGAACTTTGCCATGCACACATACCAGATGGCTCCCTTTTGTAAGACAAAAATAGATAGTCTGCAACATTATTTTGCTGCATACTCTTCAGAAGGCAATGCCATATCTGATATGTGTTAGCTATCTCCAAACTGACTTGATAACAAAACAGCCAGATGCGTGTTTTTTATTTAGCTCAACTATATGATCCTCGAATTTGAGTTTGCCATCTATATGAAGTCTTTGAGAATTCAGAGGACAATTTTACCTTGAGAATGGTGTCATTCAGACTAAGCTGTGGCGACTAGTTGGGTGAGGTATAACAAATCAAACAAACATATATTTAACATATATTCAACATAATAAATTAAAAAGTTCAACAGGTGTTTACACTCGCTCCAAACCAGATTATCTTTTTTGTAGCCTGATAGGCCTAAAATCCTTTTTAATTATTTTCAATTCTGTAGAAAAATTACATTAGATTTGAGATATCCCTAACTGATTTTATATCGCTTGGTAATAATTGTATTTTCATCTCAGGTACAAGCAATACTTTGCGTTTGAATTACAAAAGCCGTATTCATCCAAAATAAACGACAAGTTGTGTTCTCAGTACCAAATAATGATTTTAAATATACTTTTAGCTTCCACTTCAATTTTCATTATATGCCGATAGCAAAGGAAAAGTTTCACCAGTCACTCAGATCCTGTTCGTTGACACATATTTTCAAAGTACTCATGATGCTGGTTAAAGAATACGTTAGGATTGATCTCTGTCTTTGAATATCGCTCCCATCATCGTATCGAACATTGACGTCTTGTAAAAAGCAAGGGAGGTGTCTATACAGCTGTATATCTTGTTTGATTAGCCTAGGAAATGAAACTAGTTCGCCAGTATGTAGAGCAAATTCATCTTCTAACTGAAAAAATTAAAGAAATGTAGAATGGAAAAAAATTGTCAAGCACTATTATACACAACAAAATCGTTTCTTAAGTATGAAACCTAATAGTCAAATATTTGTGTGTCAATGAGATTCATACATCTCTTACTTGTCTAACAGCTTACTAGAATAGAACTTTGAGTGCTTTACTGTAGAGGTAAATAAAAAAACTTTGTAGAGTAACGAAAAATAACTTCCAGTTGCATCTCATACTCAAATCTTATCACAAAAGTCACCTTCGTATGATGGGGGCATACGAAAATGTAAAATCAGAAACAAACCTAAANTATATATATATCTATGAACAAGATGGAATATTAGTGGAAATAAATGTCTTTTTCATAAAATCAATTCATTTTGTACTTATTGTACATAAAATTGTACTTAATGTACATAAAAAACCCTTATTCAAGAAAAAATATTAATTGCACCTTAGAAATACTTAAAATAGATGAGGTGTTCATTTGAGTAGGTGTAGATTCTTCTTTTGAATATTTGATGGGTTTTCAAAAATATTAAACATGAAATTACTTATTTGAGTTGATACCTAATATCACAATAGTCACGACATGATTAGGCACGTGGAAGCGGCAAAAATGTCTTCGTCGATTGTATGAAATTCAACGCGCCGAACATAACCGATTACAGCGCGGGAACTCCCGAATGCAGTTTCGGTCGTAGTTTCGGCAGGTTTGGCGCCGAAACCGAAACCCGTTTTTTTGCCGAAACTCGACCGAAACCCGTTTTTTTGCCGAAACTCGACCGAAACCGAACTTTCGGTCGGACACTACAAGTGATATGCTAGTTGGAAGCAACTGTTTCAAGTAATGACCCCGCAGTAGAAAACAAGAAACAAAAGAATAATCGATAATTTAGCCTCCACCCAAGAATTACCCTCAATAATTACCTCTTTTGTAGCTTCTGATATCAAGCATGTATCAACTAAATTTTTTTTCTGAGTTGGAACTATCTTCTTTGGAATGGCACCTAGTTCATAGTAAATGTTGTGGAGCCGTTTTGGAGTTTTATAAGAAGGTTTCTCAGACGACTTCAAGCTAGATTCCAGTTTTTTTGGATCGATTTTTGCCTGGGAATATACTATAATTTACATCTTTATTCAATCAAACAATATATTAATCACACCTCAAGGGTTTCCAGATATTTGTTAATTTTCTCTCTGGTCTTTCTTTCTTTGAGTATCTCTTGAACTACGTATGACCAATAACTATTCACATGCTTTATTGTTAATAAAGTTTTCTNGGACTCTGATTCTCAGTTTGGTTGGCCTCTTATGTTTATCTTTCTCTTGGAATCTTGGGTCTTACGTGTTGAGTGCTTCATGTAGATCGCGCAGCTCTGAACTGGTGTGTGATCGAACTCTTTCGAATACGTTTTCTGCATGTTCTCTCATATACGTGTCTATGTAATGGATATTCAGGTCCAGGTCCCTGTAAATGTATCTATTTGGTATGTATCTCGGAGCGTTTACGGCGGCTGCAACCGTTCATGAACGTCTGGATACTACGTCTGTATGTCGCTGTGTACTGGCCCCAGGCATACAGGATGATTGGGAGTAGTATGGTCTTGATTAGCAGCAGTTTTACATGAAGTTCCATGTTGCTTCTGCGACCTATAATTGGATATAGGTTTTATCTGGCGGCTCTCGCCAGCCCTATTCTCTGCCGTACGTGTGTCCTGAACGTTAGTTTTGCTTCCAGTAATCGCATGATGGAAAGTTCTTGTCCTTCTCTGCAGCGGTCAGCTAGACACTATTCGATTAATCTCACCATTTGTTTCGAGTAGCCAAAATTGTTCAATTTGGCTCTTAGTCCGTCGTGCAAAACCCTCTCGAACGCCTTGGATACTTCTAGGAATATCTCTCCGGTGTGGTATTCTTTGCCCAGGTTGAAACTTGTCGCATAGTCTACTACCCTCAGGACTTGCAGCTCTGTAGAGTGTTCGGATCTGAAACCGACCTGTTCGTCTGGTAAGATTCCCAGTTAGCTGGTTTGGTCTTCTAGTCTTTTCAAGATGACTCTTTCTGCCACTCTGCTTATGAAAGGGGTTAAGCTTATTGGCCTATTGTTATCCGGATATGTGGTTATTCTTTGGCTTCGGGATGTGAATGACCGTTGCCTCCTTGAACGGGTACGGGAAATGCTGTTGTCCGAGTATAGCGTTGCCGCTATACCCTTCCTTGGTAGGGCTTTCAGTGCCCGGTTTGGTATCTGGTTGTGTAACTTTAAGGAGAGGTACCCAGATTTTATTGATGTTCATCGCCGCAGTAGTAGACAAAACTTCAGAAATAAGAACCTGCAGACCACGGCCGAAAAAACCGGAAAATAGCTTTCAGACAATCATCTCCGGCCGTGAAAGTTTACATTCTTTAATAAATAGTAATCAGGTTATTATGTTATTTTAGATCTAAATCGAAGCCAAATAAGAATTTTCGTTCATTACATTTGGCCGATATTTGCCTTTAAAAGGTACAAGTCTAACGTGTCAGCTGTGTTGAGTAGTTGGTTAACAGTCAACACTATGAACAAATATGAATTTTCAAGTACCCAAAGAATATTTCAAAATAATTTATCTGATATACCACCTGAGAAAGGAGTATAATATTTATCATCGAGGGTTAGTTATTCACTGATAAAAAATAGCACAAGAGGTTATTGAGGCCTTGAAACTTCCAGCCCTCATATCTTCAAAAGCACGCTCTTCGGGTAAAAACGAAAAGCTTTGTTTTGTACACTGATGTGACACTATATTATAGAAAAAATAAGACATATATGTTCCACTACCCCTGCGACGGTCGAGTTGCTAGTATAAGGATAAACCAGAAACATTTTTAGACTCACCACATCTATCCCCTCCATTTTATCTCCTTTGCCGTCTTTTCTTTTCTTAGAGTTTTCAGTCTTTGTTTTGCTTGTTTCTGTTTCTTTTTTCTTTGCTTTGGTTGCTTTTTTCTTTGGGTTTTCTTCTTTTTTGGCATTATCAAGGTCAGTTTTATTAGATACTTCAACTTCAGCTCTGTACTTTGCAATCATCTCCGCCCATTTTTTTCTCTGCTTTTCCACTTCAACAGATGCGGGATGTTTCGGGTCATATTCATCTTCATCCTCTGATATCATAATTCCTTGAGTTGCACTGCTTTGAGTATCCCATTTTTCGTCGGTACCCGTTTTCCATTGTGATCGTCGATGTTGTGCTAGCTTTCTATGATATAATCGGAAAATCGGCAGGCATAGTTTTCGTTTAACAATTCCGGAAGACATTCTTATTAAATCTGAAAAATAAAATAGCGGTATTCAATGGCTCACCTTTCTTCAATAATAGGTTAGGTTAGGTCCAAAGGGAGTGAGTCTATTCGACCTCCACCGCAACCCGCAAGGGTTTATTGTGGCTCGCACCTATTCACACTCGATCAAATAAACTCAGCTTCTTAATGATGCCGATTAGTTTGTATGGTGAATGGTGAGATGGTAAGAGTACGGCTCTGCCAAACTCTAAAAACCTGCCGCACTGGGGACTCTGTTGTTTCATCATTTTCCAAACAGATGCGACACACACTGTCTTTCGACAGTCCGAGTCTCTGCATATGATGATTCAAATGACAGTGACCTGTGAGAAGGCCTGTTAGACATCGTAGTTCAACAACTGTTTGGTATCAAGCTTCGAACGTTGAATAAACGCTCCATAAATCTTTTTACCATCTAGGTGTTCAGTCTTTGTTTGGTAAACCCACAGCGATGGCAACAACAGGTTCTGGTCCGATGAAGCTGCTTGCAGCACCAACCTTTGCAACATCTACTTGGTTTTGTATTAACATATTTGTATAGTATATTGGATTGAAAGTAAAAAATAGATATTCTTCTGAGAAAGAAGAATAATCAAACAATCGTATTACATTTTTGGTTCAAATACTCTAAATGCATATCAGCGATATCATATTTTATATTTGTAACTGATAAATGATTACTAGTGGATGAGTTGAAAATAATAGAAAATAATCCAAGCATTTATAATTCGCTGCAAATACTTACCTTATATAAATAATGTTCTTACCAGTAACTAGCGATACTTGGAAATACTCCTCCAAAGTGGCAAACCAAGCTATATCATTGTCCATAGTTTCGGCAAGAACTTTTTCATCAAGCATCCTGTTGTGATCTAGTATAAGTTTATCATAGATGAAGTTGGTTTCTGGACTGAAAATACAAACTATTTAGAAATTGAACTGAAGTTTCGAAACTTTCACGGTCGGAAGTGACCATTACGAATCACTAAATTTTCATCACTGTCGAATTTGGTTTGAAAATTCTAAGCTGATTAGCCTGTAACATTAGCTCGGATCTTCTTTTGAAAACTTGACTCGAAGTTTTTAAATTCCAGATAAATATTGACGCCAGTATTAATATTTTATTTTTCGTGAGAAATGGCATACAGAAATGTGTCCATTTTATTCGCAAATATATTGTTGTAAATCATGCCTGGCCGCCGGTCGCCACTGGTAACCATAAACCAAACGTGACGTAGCTAAGAGCGCGCGAATGCACGTTGATTCCCCGCCACTTGAGAAGCAACGAGAATAATGCTACTAGCTTCGACAGAACTTCGGCGAAATTTCTACAACATTCGATTACGATATTTAAAGGCTAGCCACGAGGATATCGAGACAGTCAAGTGGACATTATAGTGCGGTACGCGAAGTGATCTAGTAAGGCAATAGACATTCAAATAATAGTTGAAGTTTAGTTGAAGTGTTTGTTGTATTTAAAGTGAAATAAAGTTAAGTTTGATTATTCAGTGTTGTCAATTATTGGGGAACCCACGAAGAAAAACGTAACATTTGGTGTCGGAAGTGGAATAATTGACTGAAACATTTTCTGTTTTATGGTGAAAACAAGCGGTTTCGATTACGACGAAATGGATGAACTTGAGAAAATGTTTGAGGCGTTGCAATTGAGACTGGCGGATAATGAAGAACGAAGGAGGGAGGAAGAATGATTACGCCGGAAGGAAGATCGTGAATTATTACTGAATATTCTGGAAAAACAAGAAAGTAACAGAGAGGAATATCGTAAATTATCGTAAACAAGAGTTTTTCGGAAAGAATCACCGGACCTGAAAAGGATTACTGTGGATTACCAGGAGGACAACGATACATACCCAGCTACCAGAAGAAGAAATTTCCACCAGACGTGATAAGGTAGCGGGCAGAGACTCCTTTGTGAACATCTCTAGGAAGATAAGCTCCCCTACCTCCCGCCGCTTCGGGTTCCGTCTGACCCAGAGGGTAGCAACCTGTAAGGGTCCCTTGTCCAGGGATACGAATAGACAATTTGAGGAATCACCTGACCATGTTGTGGTACCGTCGCTAGTAACCTCTTTGGGTGACACTACCTTCCTGACGAGTCAAGACATCGTCGTAGCGCAGAAGAAGGATCCCGTCTTGAAAACTGTACGGAATGGCAAAAGATTTCCAAGCAGGGCCAGCAGGAAAAGGGTTACTGGCTCCATTGGGACTCCATGAGCATTCGAGATGACCTACTCATTCGGAAATGGGAAAGTCCGGATGGAAGAACCCACAAATTCCAGATGATCCTTCCTAAGACGTGTATCCGAGTATCTTCGACAGTGGTCGCACTGGGGGGCATTTCGGAGTAAATAGAACTCTAGAGAGAGTGCGTGAGAGGTACTATTGGGTCAATTGCCGTCGAGACGTGGAAGAATGGTGTAAACGCTGTGACCTGTGCTTTTCGAGAAAGGATCCGAAGACAAGGCAGAGAGGAACGTTGAAGCAGTATATCGGTGGGTGCTCTTTCGAGTCGTAGTCGACATTTTGAGACCACTCCCTATGACCACATCCGGTAACAAGTACCTTATGGTTGTGATGGACTACTTTTCCAAATAGCCTAAAGTAGTAGCCTTACCCATTCAAGAGGCTAAAACGGTAGCAGAAGTCCTGTTGCAGAACGTAATTGACAGACACAGAGTACTCCATAAGAACTACAATCGTATCAGGGCCGCAACTGCGAATCGGATTTATGGAAATGAATAATGACTATGTTGGGAATAAAGAAGACAAGAACAACTACTCTTCACTCACTATCCGATGGAATGGTCGAGAGACATAATCGCACCATCAATAACTACCTCTCGATGTTTGTCTCCGAAAACCAAAGAGACTGGGATAAATTGGTTGCTCTTTTTCTGTTGGCATACAGGAGCTCCCAACATGACGCGACATGTTGTATGCCATCCATGTTGTTAACTGATAGGGAACTGAAGCTTCCGTTTGGCATGGCAGTCCAGGTGTATGGCAGTCCTTTCGATGAATCTCAAGAGGTACCTCTTTTAGAATATGTGAATGACCAGAAGGAGAGAGTGGAAATTGTACACGAATTTGCCAGGACCAAATTACAGCTTTCCAGGATGAACACAAGATTTGACAAAAAGTCACTGCCAGTGAGCTTCAAGGAGGGCGATGCAGTGTGGCTCTATCAACCCCAACGTCGGAAAGGTTTGTGTCTCAAGGTGCAGAGACCATGGCAAGGACCTTACTTGGTAACCAAAAAGATAAACGATCTGGTGTACAGAATCCAATTGTCACCCAGAAGCAAGCCTAAAGTTGTCCATATAGAGAGGCTGGGTCGTGATGTCCCTTCTTGGAATGTTGTTCGGGGCGAACAACCTCAAGGAAGGGGGTAGTGTTGTAAATCATGCCCGAAAGAAAATAAAGCCGGCCGCCACTGGTAACCATAAACCAAACGTGACGTAGCCAAGAGCGCGCGAATGTACTATATGATTCCCCGCCACTCGAGAACAGAACTTCGGCAAAATTTCTACAACATTCGATTACGATAAAGGTTAGCTACGAGGATGTCGAGACAGTCAAGTGGACGTTACAGTGCGGTACGCGAAGTGATCTAGTAAGGCGACGGACATTCAAATAATAGTTTAGTTGAAGTGTTTGTTGTATTTAAAGTGAAATGAAGTTGAGTTTGAATATTCAGTGTAGTTAATTCTTGGTGAACCTACGGGAAAAAACGTAACAATATCTATTTTTCCCTTCTTTGCCTTATATGGTATTGAACAACTGGGTTGTGCATAATATTCAGTATCTTGAACGTTCATCTATCAAGACATAGTGGCAGCCTGGAATCTCAATTTACTCGAAACTGTCCTGAGAAGTTATTCGTATTCAAGAGGTCATCTGTAGCCCTAAAAATTTTAGAGAGCTTTCTTGAATAGTTTATTATTATTCGAAAATAAGGTACCTACACTCTAATATACAACAAAGATAATAACGTTAAACATTAATATACATATAAACAAATAATAAAAAATATCTACTGATATTATTATTGTACTACCTACAATTGAAAATACTAAAAATACATAATAATTTTGTATCACCTTAATGGTCTCTAAAATGATGGTTTAATAAATTCCTTTCAAACAGAAGACTTTACATTTTCAGGTAGACTGTTTTACTCAATAAATCCTTTAAAAATTATGGTTTTAGTGTTAAACGTTTTTGTTAGATTATTAACATACACATTATTTCTTATTCTGGTATTATACTGGTAGATTTGATTATTATAAATTACAAATTTGTCAAAATATGAAGGTGTAAGGTTATGTGACATTTTGTAAATATATTTATCATTGTTAATTATGTAAACCTACTTTTTATAGATAACCCTTCGAGATAATCCTCATTGCGCGATTCTGTAGGGTTTTCATTTTATTTAAATCACTTGTGTATAGAAAAGTGGGACAATATTCGAAATGTGGTCTATAATGGTCTTATATACTGTTACTGGTGATTGCATGGTTAAGTGTTGGATACTCTTCTAAAAAAGTATAATTTCCTGATTTTTTTTCTGTATGTGATTAAAATGGTTACTCACAGATAACTGCTTGTCCAACATAAATCCTAAATATTTGAATTCACTAATGAGCTCAATTTTGTCATTTTCTATTCTTATTTCAATTTGATTTAAATCTAATTCTCTGTAAACGGTGTAGTATCATAGCTTTTGTTTTGTTGGCATTTAGCTTTAATTTAATTTAAATATTTTCAAATAGCTTTATCTAGATCTTTATCACTAACCGATACGAAGGCATCATCAGCAAAATAATGTTCATAATCACATTCATTACATTTGCTGATATCATTAATGTAGATTAAGAATAGCAATGGTCCTAGAATAATTTTCTGCAGAACCCCATGGTCTACACTTATTGTTAATTGAAACATACTTATTAGTTTTGGTTACAATCTTCCTTCCTGTAATGTAATCGCTGATCCAATCAAAAACTTTTCCTTTTATACCAAATTTTTCAATCATTATTTCACGATTAACAGTTCAAAAGCATGTTTCAGATTTAAAAATACTGCTACAGTGTAGATGCCTTTACTTTAATGAAATGAATAAAAACACTTTTGTCTAATTACCACTGGTAGATTTTATTTATACGACCGATTTTGGGTTTGACCCCATTATCAAGTTTATACTTGATAATAATCAAGTTTCAAAGTATCAACTCCTGAATTGTGTGTGTACCTTTTCGAAAATAAGGATGCTTTAAATTATTGACAGAAAGGAAAATAAATATTATTATTAAATCTTTATCACTAACTGATACGAGGGCATCATCAGCAAAATAATGTTCATAATCACATTTATTACATTTGCTGATACCATTAATGTAGATTAAGAATAGCAATGGTCCTAGTATCAACTCCTGAATTGTGTGTGTACCTTTTCGAAAATAAGGATGCTTTAAATTATTGACAGAAAGGAAAATAAATATCATTATTACCATTGATATCAATTTTTTACTTACTCAGCAACGTTATACACGGCCATTTTCGTATGACTCCAGGACATAACGTGTAAAATTTGGAGAACACCCGCTAAACTGATATTTCCCATCAATCTCAAGACAAACCATTCCTTATTTTCACACGACATTCTGATGAAATAATTCTGAATGGAGTTATTTCGAATGCGGAAATGTTTCTCTTTAATTATTTGATCATGTCTCTTCAGTTCCTTTCCTAGAATAAGTTATCATCTCCAGAGGCATCTGATTCTTGTGTCATCTGATTTTTCTAGTTATGAATACTTACTTCTTGTTGCTGATCTAACTATTTGTTGCTCCTCTTCGATAGTATAGTTATTTATGTTCTGCATATTCCCAAATGATCGAAAAATTGATTTTATATAATTCAATTCAAAACTTGACAGTTTGAAATGAAAAATTAACATATGAAAAATAGATAGCAGGATATGACATATTTGAAAGTTTAAGTGAGAAAATTAGATTGATAACAAAAGTAAAATTAGAATATTATTTCGATTTTTTTGTCATTTCCCATATTAATAAATTCGATTTCTTAAAAAAAGGTAAGCAGGTACCTGAATGGACTACTGAAAATGGAAAATAAGATTTTTAGAAATATTTTCTTTTTTTTGCCGTTCCAAGTATTTCAAAGTATTGAATTGATGTTCACTTAATATTCCATTGCATTTGAAAATTGTATTTTTTGACTATTGAAAAAAAAAACAAATTAATTCATCGTTTCTTGTTGAGTAAGTAGACAAAATGGTCCATTACTCACATCTTCAAGCCAACCACAAACTGAGCAAATTTATAACTTACTACCTGTAGGCCAATCAGAGATTGGGTAAATTCATAACTCAACAGTTGTGACGTCAAAGTTAATCACTGAATTGACTGTTGAAATATATAGTTTCTGACGAAAAACAAGAATAAAATCACGGACTCCGAAAGTGAAAATGAAAGTACTGCACTGGAAATTTGTGATGTGGCAAAAATGATGTTTTTCAAAAGTTCGTCACCTAATAACAAAATGAAAGTGATTAGAAACAAAAAGCTTTATGTCCCACCAACTTAGAGTAGTGGTTAGCACTCTTGGCTATCTTCAACCTTGGGCCAAGTCACACCTCCGAAAGCTTTATTGTTTTCCACTATTTTCGAATTATTTTAAATTAAAGAACGAACGAAAATAGGAAATATTAATGAATGCTTTTTTTAGATTACTTGTTATGAAATTTAGTAGTATTACTCTGATCTGTCTGTTTTTCAGCTATCGTCCCTTAATGGATAACGGTCAATGATTTAAAACTCAAAACAAATTTTACTGTGATTGTGCTTTTCCCACAGCCTGAACTGCAAAAAAATATGAGTATTGAAAAACGTATCAATTACATGCCCGTTTTTTATTGGGTAAGTAGGCAATGATCCTCAAATCACAGTTGACCTGATACATAACTCACTACCTTCGAGGCGCCAAACAGATGCCTCTGTCCGGGTGAATAGTAAGCACATTTCTGTAAACATACATTAGTACATTTTAGTTAAAGTTACGTTTTTTTAAATAAATACAGATTTATACCAAATGGTTGAGAAAATCTAGAACTTTTTCCACCAAATATTCATTAACATGTTTTATACAAGTTGACGACTTCCCAGGGTCCGTCTGAGCTGAAATTAGGCGCACACATTTGGTTTTCTTGACAATGCACAAATACCTAGTTGCCGACATTTTTGATCCAATATGGCGATCGTTACAAAATGACGATTTATCATTTCTACAGTAACCCATATGATATCATCATAGTTATCACATGGGTATCCTCAGTATTGTGACGTCTGAAGACGCAATTGTATAGCAAAACACGTGTCGCAGTTTTGTAAACTGCCAAATGGAAATCTCACATTAAAGTGCTTTTTGAATACGACATGGAATAAGCAAAGTGGTCTTTGTAAATTTATGTTAACCTATGATATGGATATCTAATTTAAGGGTTTGCAGGAAAAAAAAAACGAAAAATACAATGACGTCACTGTAGGTATATCCAATATAGCGGACTTCCAAATATCATGTACTATGGTTTTTCATGCTCCTTCATTATGGATTTCAACCAAAGGGTTTGAAGGGAAAAATTAAGTTGGCAGAAAACAAGACGGCTGCGCCATACCAATTTCAAAGAGTTATAACTCGACAAAGGTTAGGGATAGTTAGGTAGAACTTGATTACGCAACAATGACACATTGAATGAAATGACAAAGTAACAAACATGTCCAGCGTTGACTAAAAAATAAATTATTAGCAAAAGATATTTTTAAAAACAAGTTTTTATTAATGTTCTGAAAAAAAATGAATTGGAGTAAGCCTTTACAAAGTAAAAAGTTTTGTTTTTCAAACTGGAATTGCATCTATAACTCTTTTCTTAATGAGATTATTGAAATTTCGTTATATCAACAACCAACAACTTATTATCATAATTTTTTTCATTAGGTAGACATTGGAGTAGTCTTAGGTTAGGTCAAAAGTAAGTGGGTCAATTCGACCTTCCACCGCAACCTACAAGGGTTTATTGTGGCTCAGTCCTAATCAATTGCATTCAAACATGTAATTTCATGATCTTCTTTCAATTATAACTTTTTTATGAAGAGATTTTGATGACATTTTTGACTGTGAGAAACCAAACCTGCTGAATTCAGTGGAGTAGTCAGAATTTTGGTGAAAGTTCTAAAATTGAATTGATGAGATAAAACTTTTTTTTATTATGAACGCATTTTGACATAAACCATTTCAGAACTACTCAATTTCAGTGGTCAGATAAAATAATCCTCTATAATTTTTTAGATTTTTGAAACCAAAAAATAATAAAAGTTGGCCCAGAAAACAAAGACTCATTCATGAGATCTGGCCTGAGATGAGATCCTAGTAGCCTTCCCAAATGTCTATCAAATAAAAAAGTCCAATTGGTTGAAAAATATGTGTTTGAATATGTTGCTTTCATTTTAAATGAATCACACTGTATATTTGCAAATTGTAAAATTTTAGAAATCCACAACATAATAATACAACATATTTATTGAAAACCTTTAATATCTTATGTACACAAGTTTATGAAACTACATGATTGCAATTTCAAATTTGATATTTTAAGAACTTTATCTCAAATCACAAAACCAATCAGTTAGTAGTAAAAACAACACCAATTTTCTCACTTAGTAGTCCAAAGCCCACTCGTTTTCGGCTAAAAAAGCATCAACGACTTCCTTCATTGCAAAATTTGGAATAAGCTGATCTTGAGTAAGTTTCACACGAGTCACAGGATCGAAATGTCCAACACGCTGAAAATTCAAAACAACAAATGAACTTTAGAGAGTAAAACAATAAAATGAGTACTATATGAGTCAGGGTTGGGTATTGCAAATAATAATATTAAAGCCATCATTAGTGTAAAGTATTCTGATGCAGAAAAAGTTGATAACAGTTATCTTTGGTGTGGGAAAGAGAGATTCTTTTGAACTCCATTTCTCATAATTGATTATTATTACTCTATCTGACTTTCACACTTAAGGTTGTCTATAAATTAGGCCATGCAAATTTAGGCTTCAAAGGTCAAAGAATAATTAAAGGATGTATATCTTTATAATCTGCTACATTTTTGGGAAGTTTTATCTTCCTCTTGAAGATGATTACTTGGTGATCGAAACACGTGTCGAGGTGTAAAAATAACGATTTGGTGTTGGGAAAAAACTCCAGTAATATTCATTACTACACCAAAGGTTCCAAACAGTATATCACAAATTTCACACTTAAGGTTGTCTGTAAATTAGGCCATGCAAATTTAGGCTTCAAAGGTCAAAGAATAATTAAAGGATGTATATCTTTATAATCTGCTACATTTTTGGGTTGAAGAGATAATTTCACATGATTTCAAAAAGGTTAACTTTTATTCTATAAAAGAGTATATGGATCATGCACCTGACCTGTTACTTGAGGTACGAGACACCCATTTTACATTTAGACCATTAACATTAGTTTCTAGTAGGCATTTTCTTTAACCACTATTTATATGTTATCAATATTTTTTATACTTGTATTATATGTTCTTTTATTAGTTGTAGTGTTTTGTAACATATTGTTTATTTATCACAGGTCTAATTCTGACAAACCTCAATTGTGCTTTCTGACTTGACTAAATATCCACCTAAAAGACCAATGAACATCTATCTATCTATCTTTTTACGGAGGGGAAATCTTCATAGACTGTATTCCGGATTCTTACTAACTAAAATGAATTAGAAACCACTCTCGAATTACTTCGATACGTATACCCTTGGCATGGTTTGCTCGACATATTTTCATCTTATACTATAAAAAGGTTGTGTTCTATGTCGTCGTATGCATTTCAGTGAGATTCCATACTCTTGGGGTTATATAGATACCTAAGGAAGCAGCCATGCCCAGATAGTGCCTGAGTGAGGTCATAGCTCACCTCGCCATAGGTTCGATTCAACCAACCCTCGATTGAATGTATTGATCAGGGTAGATGGATACCCGTAGTGGCCATTGTAGCATTGTCTTGCCAGCTGTTTATCAAATTTTCGCTGGCGATTCCCTTGGAAGTACCTACATATTGTTTTTTCTGGATGACTTGGAGCTCTATTGATGGAATTCCAGCACACCTTCCACATATATTTTGGAAGGTGTACTACCTTCTACAGGTGAAAATATCCAAAGAATGTCGATAAACTCTGATTTCCTGCACAAAATTCACTTTTGTTCAGTTACTTGTAGAATTCTTGTCACTGACAATATTTACAGTGGGCATCTCTATTGCTTCCGCAGTTGGTTTTGTTTCAGTTGCAACTTCCTGTAACGTTTGAAAACCCAATAATGTCTTTATTTTTTTGATTGGGATGGCTGGACTTATGCAGATTATCTTTTTGCTAGAGAGTATTCAAGCTGTTGGTTAAGGTATTTTTTGCTTTCATTCCTTTATTAAATTTTCGACCCTGTCCCATACATTTTGTATTGTTAGGATAACTTTCTAATTTCTACTATTTCTCACTTCATGTACATCCATCTCTTATTACACTTGAATTCACTGCCTCTTTCATTATTATAGAGTTTTCCATACTTGATTGATTCAATATCTATATTGAAAGATTGCCAAGAAATATTTCTGACATTGAAGAAAATATGGATATGCAAAATAGTTCAGATTGATGAATAATCTATATCCACTAGAAATTAGATTTCTATTGATTTTATAACAGAAATCGGTTTTAGTGAAAGTTACTTACAGTTATATAGTAGGGATTCATTAAGACGGTGAATTTTCAACTAAAATGGTAGTGGAAGCCAAGTTATAACTGTAGCTATATGTTTAGTTGATTTTTTTTTCGGTTAGTTTTAATCTAAAAAATATTTCCCGAAATATTCCTGTCTTCAACTGACAGTTGATATTTATAAACGCCTTAGTAATTTTTTCCCCTCAATTCAGGTTATTAAGATAAATATAAATAAGTACAAATTGAATTTCTCAATTAATTTAGATACTGACTTGCAAATGTTCCTCCAAGTCTTTTTTATCATATGTAATACCACTAGGTGTTATAACAGGCTCCTGTAAAATTTCAAAACTTATTTTTCCACACAAGTAGTCAGGAACTTCTCGTTTCTGAAAAGAAATAAACATTAATATGGAGCTCAAAATACAGCAAAAAACGGATTCAAAAATTTTTTCACTTACCCTTCTCCTGTCATCTACTTTAATGAAAAGCTGATTAAGTTCATTGAGGTAGTTGTCCTAAAACAAAATTACTTTGATATTATGTAATATAAAAATGATATGAACTAATACAGGATGATAATTTTGAATTTCTACTCCTCTCACACCTTATGTCACCTAAAGAGACAACTCTGCTCTTGTCACGATGATTATTCTATTTAAATCTATTTCTATTCATAAAGACATTCATACAATTATCTGGTTTCCTCCCAGCTATACGAGTTTAGTTCGAATTGAGAAGGGACAGAGATAAGTTTTTGGAAAAAAGTTTTTTGGTTTTCTACTTCTTCATCTAAAAACAAGTAGGAAATTTCTGAAGAAAGTAATCAAGTCAAAAATAATCTTGTACGAGAAATGCATGTTATAGTCTATTAAGTTTGCTGAAGTTCAAAATTGTGCAGATGAGGAGTTGAATACTTCGAGAAGTCTACCATGAGAGTGATAAATTTCCACATAAATGAAATTAAATATCAATACTAGTTCATGTATTACGTTGTGTGCCATTTATGATAAACAACTCATTGAAATGGATAATAATGAATACAAGTTTCATCAAAGACCACATTTTACCCACTTTTAAGATCTATCCTAATCACCAATTGCCTTATTGCAAACTAAATTCAATAAAGGAGAATAACNCCCTCAGGGTGTCGGGTTCTTCATCATATATATCTCATATATTTCAAAATATTCTGAAACTGGAACTGCAATGAAGTTCAATGATGAAAAAACATTACACTTTAGCTAATGTGGAAACTAATTATTTTTCACTTGCTTGTTATTTACTGAAAGTGATGTTATTTCACTGAAGAAATAAAATGTAGGCCTTAATGTAGTAAACAATTGAAAAAAATAGACTTACACATTTTTCATCAATTTCTTGAATTTTTTCCTTCCTTAGTTCGTTATCGCCTTCTTGACGATTCACTGCATTGATTTGTTCTTCTTTATCATGTTCAATTAGTCTATTCAAATATGAATGCAACTCTATTTCTTGAGCAATTCGTTTCTCTTCTTGCAATGTGAATCGTTTTTTTCTCGCTGCCCTCAATTGCGAGGCAATATCATCACCAAAATTCAACTTTTGTTCTTTTGCCAAATCTGATGCTGAAATAAGTGAAATCTCAAAATAATTAAAAAGATTAATCTTTATTTCAAAAATATGCCGACTATTACAGCTTGTACACAGACAACATAGAATGAAATGAAGTGAAAAAGAAAACAAAATTTATGTGAAACACTGAAATACAACCACTACATATACTAATAACTTTATACATTTCTATAATTCCGTTTGGTTCAAATAATTACTATTACACCATGGTTCTAAATCTATTAGCATTATGCAATTTCTTTCTAAGATTTATTTATGCTCCTCAAATCTTTGATTCAATTAGGTAATTTATTATATAGCTTCATTGACATGTAATGAGGAGTTTTTTCAGTTATAGTTAACCTATGTCTAGGGAGCAGGAAATCATTTATTCTTGTTCCATAGGAATGTTGAATAATACTGTTAAAGAACAGATGTCTATTTTTTAAAAGAAACATAAGGCATTCATAAATATAAAGGGCGCATATCGTCATTATCCTATTATTCTTGAAAAAATATCTGCATGAATAATTAAACTCCAAATTATTCATTGTATTGATAGCCCTTTTCTGAATTACAAATATTTTTTTTTTAGTTTTACCATTGCTTTTCCATGTAGCAACAGACTCAAAATTGGCAAAGTGTAACATTTTTACGGATTCTTTTCTGAGATATTTGTGAACCACCCTTAGTCCATATAAAATGTTGCCCAATTTGTTAGCTATATAATCAATATAATTGTTCCATTTTAAGAATTGATGAGTTACCCCCAAAGAAAAAGAGAAAGGTTAACTTGTTACAAGATAAACTTTTTTTGTTATTATCAGAATATACGAGGTCTTAGAACAAAAAAGGGTGATCTGAATGGAGCACTCCTAATAAGCGATTTAGATATTATTTTAATTACGGAATCCTGGTTGAATAATAATTTTGCTAATTCAGAAATCAGTAACTCTCAATATCTCATTTTTAGAAAAGTTCGTGACTACAACAGTACTAACTCAACGAGGGGAGGTGGTGTTATGATAGCAATTAAATTATCATATAACACAGAAATAAGAGTTTCTGATTCTAATTTGTTTGAAGATGTCTGGGTGAAACTTAAGATCAACAACAAATCGATTGAATTGTGTATAGTTTACTTTGTTCCTGAATCATCTCTCGATGCATATCAAAGATTTGTTGAGCATATTACCGAGATAAAAAGACATCACATAGGTGCAAATTTTATTATTGTGGGTGACTTCAACTTTCCCCGAGTTACTTGTTCATATGAGGAACAAGTCTTGATTCCAGAGTATTTACCTGACCAGCGTGTAGAATTTTTGCTCGACGAACTCCCGTTTATGGACTTTCAGCAATATAATGATGTCAAAAATGTTAAAGATAAAATTTTGGACTTAGTTTTCTCTGATGAAATTTAAATTGACGTTAGACTTTGTGATACTACACTGATCAATAATTTTTTAGCAGATGCATATTACCCTCCACTCCAGCTTAAATTAGATTTTGAGAATATGTTGCAGCCTACGTTCAGCTATAGAGAAAAAGTGTTTTTATTTCATAAAGGTGATTATGAAGACACCTTCAGTGAAGTGGTAATTGAAAATAAATTGAAAAACCTAGACTCAAAGGACGCGGGTCCTGACGGAATTCTGCCAGTATTGTTAAGGAATTGCTGTCACAGTTTACCACATCCCCTTAAAATACTTTTTCAAATATCATTTGATACAGGGATTTTTCCAGGTGTTTTTAAAATACCTTTCCTTTCTCCAGTATTAAAAAATGGAATTCTGAATATCATTTCTATTTCGAAAATGTCTTGTATTCCCAAAGTATTTGAATCTTTAATTACGGATGAAATATTTAATAATTTCAAACATGTCATAATAGACGAACAACATGGATTCTACAAAGGAAGGTTTACTGCCACCAATTTGGCTGTCTACCAAAACTTCATCTCAAATAAGATTGAGCAAGGGCTCCAAGTTGATGTTATCTACACGGACCTTGCTAAAGCCTTCGATTCAGTTTGTCATGAACTATTAATTTTAAAACTTATTAATCTTGGAATAACGGGCAGAATGTGAGGATAGATGACAGTATGTCAGAAACAATTCATGTGACTTCAGGGGTTCCGCAAGGTTCGCACATTGAGCCTATATTATTTCTACTCTTTATTAATGATGTTAAATCAGTCTTTAAACATTGTAATATCTCTCTGTATGCAGACGACTTTAAGTTTTTCAAAACAGTGCAATCTACCAATGATATTGAATGTATTCAGAATGACCTGGATAGCTTTTGTTAACGTTAAGAAATGTTAACGTTAAGAAATGTAATGTGTTGAGATTTTATAGAATAAGACAGCCTGTCATTGGAAAATACTCCATTAATGATCTAACTCTTCAAACTGTCAAAAGCTTATGCGATTTGGGAATTACTTTCGGTAAAGATCTAAACTTTATTGATCATGTCAATAATATCTGTAATAAAGCATTCAGAATGCTTTGATTCATCAAAAGGAATACCCGCCATAGTAAAGAAAAAGGAATACCCGCCATAGTAAAGAATATGGTTCGGAGTATTTTGGAATATAAGAGTGTTATTGGGTGTCCTCTTTATGCTTGTCATGAAGAGAGACTTGAAAAAGTGCAAAATCGTTTCTCTAAATATATAATTTGGAAACTTGGCCTACCTCACTTTGGATTTACCTGGCAAATGAGGCTGTCTGTATTAGATTTATTATCACTTGAGGACAGACGTAAACTTGCAATGGTTCTATTCCTTCATAAAATAATAAACATCCACTATAATTGTTCAGCTATTTCAGATGACCTTTGCCTTTCTGTTAACTCAAGATTCTAAAGAAGTAATCACATTTTTTCATTTGTGTTGCGATTCAACAAGACTAACTATGGCTCGATGGCAATAAGTTGTAGGCTTCAGAAAAATTTCAATACATACTTTTCAGAACTTATTCTAGTGTTTGTACATGTCTTTTTTTTTAATTTGAATCTGAACTTATTACAATTATATAATGTACTACTAGACAAAAGAAAATGCATACATTTATTTATTATGAAGCAATAACTTGACTCAAGGGTTTGTTTGCACTTTGATGTAACATTTGGGACTTTGTTACAATTCTGTAATATACTTGACATAGTTACGTTTTGTTTTATAATTTAATTGATCTTATTCTTGTCTTTTTAATATTTTTTCTTTTTTATGTTCCATTTGGTTTCAACAATTGAAACTTTCTTGATGTACCATTTGGGATTTTATAATAATTCTGTAGTATACTTGACCGATAAATAAATAAAAAAAAATGGAATCCTAGAAACTTGGTGTTTTCTGAATATTTTATCGTAAAACATTTTCAAAATTCAAATTTTGAGATCGTTCTATCTGTATTTGATTAGTTTTAAAAAGTATGGGATTAGTTTTAAATACAGAATAATATGAATTCTGGATTGAACTAAGTTTTGGTGGATAAAGTACTAACATGATCAATCAACAGTTTCCCAAATTATCTTCAGAGTTTTTGTTGTTGTAACTGAAACAAATATAACCATCACCCTTGGTAAAGACGTTGATTTATTATTAATATTCATTGAACAACCGGTTATTGCAATCGATTGTAATGGGCCGTACCTACAGGAAAGGCCAAAGAACTTATTTTTTGCTCTTGTACTTTTATCAAATACCAATACTCTTTTCGAATGAAAATATTTTTTTCAAGTACAAATGCTCATCCTCTGCAAATTATTTGCTTGCAACTTCTTGACAAATGTTTGCCAAGAGGGGTTATTTAAAATTAATATTTCTTTGTCTATGTTAAGACTTCCACCGTCACGTACAGCTATTCCAATTCCTTAAGTGTATGGAAGAATTAATAAAGGCTGAGATGAAGAGCTTGAAGGAAGTGAAAATGATAACATGTAATTGTTTACACCTATTGAAAAATAAGGGTCCATAGAGGATATTATTTTCCCGATTCATAATAGTTTTATTGTTACAATATATGTTATAAAACATAGTTGAAAGCTTTAATATATTCTATGTGATGGAATTGGTCAATACTTGATGAAAATCCATAACTTATTTGAATAACACTTCATTGCTAACTGGACATGTTACAAAATCACAACACCTGAGGAAGCTATTGTATAGCGAAACACATGTTGTGGTTTTGTAAATTGTCCAGTGAAAATCTCACAATGAAACGTTACTGGAATTGATATATCTTGATGGCCCAACAAAAACTTAACCATATTGAAGGATTATCCTTTGATGGGACCATTTTTGGCAATTTTTTTTTCTAGTCCAATGCTTTTTCATTATTAGTTGTTTTTCTATTTTATGTTTATAGACTTTATTATTGTTTCAATGCTACTTCTTTAAATTTTCATGTATTTGAATTGTTTCATTATATTCTATAGATTTTCAATACATTTATATATTTTCATAGATATATGAATAATTTTCTACCCACACAGTTTTGTTTGATTTCAATTAGTGATGTGTGTACTGTATCTTCAATTTTTGAGACTTTTTATTCTATTTCTTTTCAAAAACTGAGTAGTAAGAGGTCTACTTAACCTTGCATCACTTGCGCCAAAAAAAATTAAACTAGCACTCGCGCGTGAGAATTTCTCTTACACACGTGTGATATTATTGTTTTTGTTTGGAATGAAACGAAAACAGGTAATGTGGAAGGGTTTATTTTATGATACGAATACTAAATAAAACTGCCAGAATAGTGTATACAACAAAAATAAACTTGTGCAACAATATGAACACAAGAAAAAAAAATAACGAGTATATATCTTTCGAATTTAAATCTAGATACAAACTATTTAGGTAAACATACGCTAAAAGATACAAATTATCAAAAAAAAATCTGACATATGAATACTACTGGAGTTTAGTCCCAACAACAAACCGTTGTTTCTAACACCTCCACACGCGTTTCAATCACCTAGTGATCATCTTCAAGAGGAAAATTAAACAGATAACGGTTTGGTGTTGGGACTAAACTTTAGTAATATTCATTACTACACTAAAGGTTCCAAATAGTGTGTCACAAGTATCAGACATATGTATGATAAAATGATTTACAGAGCTACTAAAAAGATTTTTGTCAAACTCTTGATGACTGTTCACTGTATTTTCTGGCAGCATCCCTTTCAATATCTTGACATTCATCATCTTCCATAATTTATTGATTTTGCCTGTCTTCTTGACCCGTCCATGGTGAATTAGCTTCGACTCTCTTCCTATTGAAATCGCCCTTATACTGCAAGCATCCGACTTCTACTCATTGTATACAATCTAAAACAATATATTCACTACAGAAGAACATTTTGTATATATAAAACAGATTCACTTACCAAAACAAGCCGCAATCAGAAAGAATAATATACTACGTTAGAACTCGAGTAATGAGAGACACTCTCACGGAGGCCTGCAGATGATTAAAAGGTGCGCGATATCTGATATTAATTCACACTAAATATTGCACATGCCCACGCATATCCACGAAGTCAGCTAGAAGTGGGAGTAGCAGTATAAGAGATTTACTCTTCATAGAATGTGTATATTATTAGCAGGCTTGAGAAAAACGCTCATAGCGCAAGTGATGTAGGTTCAAAACAATATTTCTTAAATCGCAACATTTTATAGGAATTTTTTCAAGGATGTACTGTTAACGTACCCCGTTGTAAATGTTTTATTGATTCATCGTAGTTATCACATTCTAACAATGCTTGTCCTAGAAAAAAATGGCCCTTGACAAGACTTGGATCCATGTCTAAAGCTCTCCGGCAGTCCGTACACGCCTGTTCCCATCTTAATAATTTCAAGTGGCAAAGAGCACGATTAGTAAAGTAATGGGCCACTTCAGGATTTTTTATCTGGAATCAAATCAAGAGGAGGAAAGGAAATAGTGTCAAACAAATGATATTGATTCTTGAGACCTACAATTGCTTTACTGTAGCATCCAATAGCATCTTCGTACTTTCTCAAACTGAATAAACGGTTTCCTTGCTCTTTCAGTTCCTTGTCAGATAGGTTAGCAGTAGAGTACATGTGTTTACTCATTTTAACTGATATTTCGCTCCTTATTTCATCGAAAACACTTCTGTATAACTAAAACATTTTAGTTTTTATCTGTTTAACAAGTTAGAAATCAGAAACATTATTTATATGTTCACTACTATCTACATTTCAACATTCCATTAATATTATTTTTATTTTGCAATTTTTCCACTCCTCTTTGACGTTTGACATCTTTAGAAAACCCTAGAACCTCAGACCTCAGAGAAATAATTTTGTTACTCTGAGCCTAGAACCAAACACTGTCAAACGTCAAACACAAACTAAGAGTTTTACAGACGTTTTACAAAATAGCTGAGTTGGTTAATGTTTTCTATGACATACGTATTTTTATTCTTTAAAACAATGAACCTTTTTCCTGAAGTACGAAAAATCACTCACTACACTAGCAGCGCTAGTAGTTCGGTAGGGACAAACACTGCCTAATCCTCATATAAATATATGGTAAAGTACAATTAAAAAAGAATGTTTTTAACAGAAGATGTTCCTGGAGCAAAACTAAAATTTGCAACTGTAAAGGATAACAATGTTGTAACATTAAAACGTTAGCTTGCATGCCGTAATTTAAAAGTAACTGGACAAAATGTGAATTAATAGACAGGTTAGTATACAGACTCTAGTAAAAGAGAGCGGTAGATTCGAACTGTAATAAAAGAAATTTAAAATAATTATGAATTTTAGATTTATTACCGAGTGAAATATGAATCAAATATAGATGGTAATGAAATAAATTTAATGAAATATAATAAACGAATATAATTGAGGTTATATATCATTCTAATCAATGGAAATTGATTATGAAAAATGTACTACTATTAAATCCACTCTCCTCGAAGCATGTACCTATCCATTACTTACATCTAACCTCATTGATATGAGGTTTTATAAAATAAACGAATATAATTGAGGTTATATATCATTCTAATGAAAAATGTACTACTGTTAAATCCACTCTCCTCTAAGCATGTACCTATCCATTACTTACATCTAACCTCATTGATATGAGGTTTTATAAATGGTATAAAAACATGTTTTCTTCCGGATATCGATTATCCGACGTACAAATTGCAAAACAGCAATGCTTTATTGGCATTATACTAGCACAAAATAATTCTTTATATCAGATTTATATTTTTGAATAATAAATTAATATTACGTAAATAATACTGTTTTACATGTGAAATCTCGAAACATTCATCACTCCTAAAGTACTTACCTATACAGTAGATTTTGGTAAATGCCTGTCGGAAAACAACTACTTTTCGGGGTTACACCACACTGGACATTGAATTATATCCGATAGACATTCATGCATGATATTTCATCCAGCGGCATGACCACGCTGAAATCATTCGAGTAGATCACTTACAAAGCGGTTTCGAGGTATAACCTTCTTCAGTGCAGAAAAGATTCGACCCAAACAGCAGTGTGTATTTTAATTTGTTGCTTCTTTTCAGCTTATTACTATATGTATATGATAATATTTGGTAATGATAGTGTTCGACGTTGGTTTGTGCAATTTCGTACCCGCAATTTCAGCCTCGAAAATATATGCTCCGAAATGGTCGACCTACAGTAATATATGACGACGATTTGATGATACTGGTGGAGACAGTTTTTGATGGTGTGAAACTTATTGGAAAGGTCATAATGCTCGAAAATAGTGTGCCCCACCCCACGATTTGAACGACAGAAAAAAATTGTCACGTTTCGAGGTCTGTACTTATTTGCTTTTGCGCATCCAAAACGATCATTTTTTGGATTGGATCGTCACGTGTGATGAAAAGTGGATCCTCTACGATAACAGGAGACGTCCAGGACAGTGGTTGGACACCGATGAGCCACCCAGACACTTCCCAAGACGAAAACTCACCAAAAAAACATGGTTAGTGTATGGTGGTTAGCGGCTGACTGTGATTCACTATAACTTTCTGTAATTGAACCAAACCATTACAACAGAGTCCTAAGGAAATCGACGAAATGTGTCAAAAATTGCATCAGCAGCAGCACTTTGATATCTTTCTCACCGGTAGGACCAGGCAAAAACGGCCTTCGTCGACTTCATCAAATCCCAAGCACATAATTTTCATGCTGACGGAATTATTCGACTTGTGTTACGTTGGAAAAATGCATTGATTCAAATAGCACTTGCTTCGATTAAATTTGATGAGTATTCACTGAGATACTACAGTTTAAAGTAGACTCAGTGTTTTGGCATGTATATATTTAAGGAAAATTAATTTAAGTTTCGGCAACACCGCTCTCGGATTTGATAGAATAAATCTACTTAGTTGAGTAGTTTTAGTTTTGAAATTAGAAATATTCGGAACGGCTGGATCGGAAAAGAAATAAGATACGCGCTGGTGTTTCTATTGTATAGTATAGACTAATGTGTGCATTGTTCTTTTGTTCAAATAAGTTTTTTTCAACACTGCTTCTCCTAAAACTCCTTGATCCCTCCCTACTTTGCCATAATAGTTTCCCTGAAGCAGTTTGGATCCAACAGCAAAAAACGAGAAAGGGGCAAGTCTCAATCCTGGGTTTATTTAACCATCACTGAGTTATTATTTAATGTATTCTGTGTTTTGAGTTTATCATATCCATTACAGAACACTCAGTAAAACGGACAAATATTTTGAAACAACCAATATATTAATTCATGACAATGAGATAGTCTGGACAATTTTTCTCATTTCCGTCATTTTTATTTTACTTCAGACTTCTTTTGAATTTCTCTGAAGAGCTATAGTGGTTTCCACTTGTTTAAAACTAGAATTTCTCCAAGTCAGTATGACTAAAACTAGTTAAAAATGCTATAGGATTAACTCAAATGATGTTCATTTGAAATATTCAGATCTAATGCATCTTTGAAAGTATGTCCTAGTCCAGTAGCGGTCAGAAAAGATGAAGTTCTAGCTTCGAGGTTGAAGTTGAGTGTTTGAAAGGGACTTTTTCTCTCTTTAGCGCTTACAAAATAGGTGGATGTCTAGCAGTATAAAAATCTTTCTTCACTTCCACTGAAAGAAAGATAAAATAAATATTCATCCCGTTACATAAAGTGAAAAGTTACTTTAACGAAATCACCAGCGTTTATCGTCTGATGACACTAACTTGAATGGTGAAACGTGCATCGAGAAGAGAATGTTGCGGTTCCTGAGGGTGTTACATTGTTTTGGATTTGAAAAGTCTCTCATATAATACTCATGAAAGTGTCTTATTTGTTTCCTCAAGGTCAAATAGCAATATTTCATCAGTTCGGACTTCCATTGTCTAATATAATATAAATTGATTTGAAATCCCTGAAAAAGAAATTAACCAACCAGTACTCGTACTTCCCTACATCAGAGGATTATCGGAAAGGATAAGAAGGATTGGGTCCAAGTATAACATCAGGACCTGCTTCAGATCTGGGAACACTATCCGTAGAAGCCTTACGAAAACCAGGCCACCAAACTCGGACTGCGATTCCAAGAATTGCATTTACCGGACACCCTGCGAGTGCGGAGAATCATACATCGGTGAAACTAAGAGGCCATTGAAAGTTCGCATTGCTGAGCACAAGAAACACACACAGCGAGGAGAAACCAGCAAATCCAGAATAGCAGAGCATGTTTGGACCTCTAATCAAGAGAAAAATGACCAACTCCCGCCAAACGGTCATTTCCCGCAAAAATCAATGAAGCGGAGAGAGGGAACAGGGGATATGTGAAAGCACTCGAATGACCTATAAATAGTCAGATCTCGGAGGAATAAGTCCAGTTATCACTCGAAGACGATTGTGGATACTAACAATCGAAACGTAACTTGGTTTGGAATCTTTTAATTTTTATTTTTCAATTTTTGTTAATAATATTTTTAATTTTCAGCTTTTATTAATATTTCAATTCTTTATTTATTTTTTGTAGTTTGTATGTTATTTCCTTGTAATTTCAGTTTTTTGTTTTAATAAAATTGTTATTTTCGGTTAATCTTTTATTTTTTTCAGGGATTTCAAATCAATTTATGTTACATTAGACAATGGAATAAGTACGAACTGATGAAATACACCACGAAACATTGTCAACCACCTTCAAACAAACGTCAAATAACAATGTTTAGTGAAATATACCTGGACATTCGATTAGTGTTCTTTTATTTTTTTTATGTTGGTACACTGGTCTAAAACATATGTTCACAATTTCAGCTGCTTGGCATGTTCACTTTGTTGGTGAATGTCATAAAAGTTAGAATTGTTATTGCGTGTTTTTTTCTGCTATCGAAAAAATGGATCGAGGAAATTGCATTGAATTTTGTGTAAAAAAAGGATAAAGTGATTAAAAACACTTGCAATGTTAACAGTGGCATACGGTGACTACTTTGAATCAGAAAAATGTTCATAAGTGGTAAGTAAAAGCTTTTCACAGAAGCTCCAGAAAATGTTAATGACAACGCTTGCCCTGGACGCCCCATCACATCAACAACCGATGGAAATGTTGAGAAAGTGAAAAAAATTATTAAGGAGAATCGTCGAATCACTATTAGACAAGTTGCCGAGGATGTTGGCATTTCGGTTGGCTCGTGCCATGTAATTTTTTGAAAATTTTGGGCATGAAGTGTGTGGCAGCAAAGTTCGTTCCAAAACTGCCGAAAAAAAGACCAAAAAAAACCGTCGCTTGAGCATGGCTCAGAAATTGATGAATGACGTCAACGGCGATCCAGATTAGCTCAAAAGGGTCATAACTGGCGACGAATCATGGGTATATGGTTATGAAATCGAAACCAAAGTTCAATCGCGTCAATGGAAGAGCCCAGAAGAGCCAAAACCGAAAAGCACGCCAAGTTCGATGAAATATCAAGGTTTTGCTCACTGTTTTTTTTTTCGATTACATTGGCGTAGTGCACCAGGAATTCTTGACACATGGTCGCATGGCCAATAAGGAGTATTATCTTGAAGTTATGCGCCACTTGTGAGAAGCAATACGAAGCAAACGTCCGGTGTTGTAGAAAAACAATTGATGGCTCTTGCATCACGACAATGCACCTGCTCACTCGTCATTGCTTGTTAGAATTTTTTGGCCAATAACAACACAGTATAATCATGCCTTAGCCACCGTATTAACCAGATTTGCCCCCTGTGACTTTTTCTGTTCCCAAGATTGAAGAGACCCATGAAAGGCGGCGTTTTGCGACGATTGAGGAGATGAAAA